GAGCTAGCTGGAGAAGAAGATAGAGGTAGAGAAAACCGCAGAGAAAAATAAGCTTACATTTACTGGCTTCCCTGCTTCTGATATACTACAACCTTCCTAGCCGGTGTATAACGGCCAGATGGGTTCGCTTAGTACTAACTCACTTTAAAGCTATTCACTTCCGTTGACCAATCAACAAGCGCTAACACAAGCCAACCACCAACCGCTCCTGACAGCTAGCCAATATATACCCTAGTTTTGAAGATACTAGAAGTTGAGTTGGTTTATAGAGGAAGTGTACTATTATGGAGGTATTACGGGGTTGTTTATCTAGCTAGAGGGCATGAATCAGCAAATATCATCATCTATGTAGTCTGTGACCTATATAGTATATATAACGCCACCTAGATAGGTATAGTCTAGTATTCGATATACCAGACCGGAGATTGCACGGTCATACTCTCTTCCCTTAGGTCGCGCAGATCAAGCTTATACAATTCTCTATTTAATCTCATCCGGCCAACGGCCCTTTGGCGGAGATTATGGTGGCCCTCCGAATTAGGATGTATTAGCGCGGAAGATCGGTTTCGTGTCTTGTGTTTCAAGCTGTAGAGATGCCTGCCATTAGCCGACATTGTTGGACGCTAGTCCGACGGTAGGCTGAAAATCAAATTCCCCCTCATCCATAATACACTCGTTTATAGTACTTATTTTTGACTAGTGCTTCGTTTGAAGTATCGACAAGTTCGCAAAACGGCGACTATGTGATTATTCTGACACTTTATCAGGTTGTGCATACGTAATCCCGATCGCCTGGCTTTTCGACTTAAGCTAGGTTGAGTCTAGTGTCTGGCTCACGGAGCATTAGGCATGGCGCGTAGTCCATGTGTCACGATCTCGCTGAACTACCGCCATTGCGCTTGGGCAGATTTATGAGCCGATCAGAGCCGGTCATTGGACAGGACTTTGTGCCGGCCTGGAAGATCCGCAAATCCTCCTTTTGAGGCCAATGGCGGGATGTTGGAGAGCTTGTGTGGAGTCATCTCGATTGAGGGATGCTACTAGGTGAGACTATAGCCGCCTGTTATGCGATAATGATATGAATATGGTAATTTGAAATTGCTCAGTTGATTGAAGAAAATGGGATTTCCAGAATGTACTCCGTCGTCTCAGTATGTCCCTGCCCGACATAGAACAATTGACGCAATCTTGGCCGCCGGATTCAGGGGAACCCTCCGGAAACCAAACCAGGGCCCGATCCGCAGTATGGTGGAGCACATTGAGCTTTCCCCGGGCAAATCGCAACACTTTTTGCACTCTAAACGTATCTTTTCCAATTGCGTATAAGCCGGGTGATCTGCATGCGACCGTGGTTCAGACTGGATTGAACACCGCTGTTTTCATCAGGCCAGGTAGCCTTCAGTTCCCAGGGTGCTGTTCGTGGATTATCCTCCACATAAGAAGTCAGATTAGAATGGCACTGGGGAAGTAAAGGACACTTGCAAGATTGGGTTGATGCATATTGGCACGTCGATACTTCCTGGGTTAGGTATTATTCTTTTTATTATCCTTTTTTTAAACCACTTTTTCCTAACCACATTTGGACTAGTTCCTCACTGCGCCAAGAACAAAGCGATCGAAACCGGGCCGCAGCCCGGCCCCTGTCGGCACGGAACGTGAGCTTCTTACGTCCCATGGCATGCATAGCGCACAGTCCATGCGACATGATCTCCTGGATCTACCACTGATATACTGACTTCAACAATCACGCCTTCCAGCCTTAAGGGCTGTGAGCAAGAGAAACGGGGGTTATACTATTGATTGCGCTAATGGATTTGGAATCCAACCCCTGCCTAGCGCGGAAACCTCGGCACGCATGGCTATGGCTAATTTTGATGCTAGCTCGGATCCTCTGGCTAACGCTGATCGGGTAATAATAAACGGTTGGGACGAATCAATGGCCTTTAAAATTGACAGGTTAGGTGGGGTGGCCAACTCGGGGGTGTGGCCAACTCACTAGTGAATTACGTTAACTAATTATTCAGATGAAGTGGGCCGATGAGCTGATCAGAATAGACGACGAAGGAAGTCCTTATTTCTGGTATCTTTATGCTAATCTTGACTCCCCAAGCGTATCTCTCGATTCTGTTGCTCGATTCCTTGCATGAGTTGCACAATCTTTCGGGCGTCCGCTCGCGTTCTTTCCATCAGCTCATCTTGCTCACTTATCCATCGCAACCGCGTTTTCCAAAATTCCCATCTTTCCAATGAGAACAATGAGTCTCCGTGCCATAGATTGGAATCCCTCTTTTTTAATTTTTCGAGGAGAGAAAGGTCTCTTTTCCCCACAAACCCGAAGATAATGTGCCCGGCAATCTCAAAAAATGGAACCATAGCGTGCACATCAGCCTAAAATATGCAAGTCAATCATCACAAATGCCATCATGGCCTTTCATTCCCACTCACATTCAGCATTTGCATATAATCAGTAGGGCGACCAGTGTCCCGATAGCGGTGGCCTTGCCACTGCGGCGGAGGTTGTTGGGCATGGGTCCACGGATCCTGCTCGAGGGCGAATACGATCAGTCGCAATGCCACGGTTAACTCCCTGAGATCGGGAGATTCGGGAGGATAAGCGGCAAGAAAGTGCGCATAAAAAGCGTTGGCGCTGTGGAATTCAGTCCACCCGTAATAGGGATATGGGCCGTATCTCATCTCCCAACAGCCTTGGATGAAAAGGATTAGTATAGGGCCCACACTTCGTGACATGAGATCAGCTGCCTAGGAGGAACTCTATGAAGGGCAGGAGGATGTGCAGGCGGATATCTCCGAAATTTCAAGCCGTTATGCCACGGGAGCAAAGAAACCGGACTGCACAGCGTTGGTCTGTTAGGGGCGGGAGAAGAAAAAAAAAGGGCCACTCACGGGAGTATGTCTCCGACCAAATGTAATCGAATGCCTCCAAGGACCTCCAGGTTTCTAGTCGGTCCTCGAAACAGCCGGTGCGGATCTGCTCCTCGGTTCGTTCCAGCTGAGGCAGCGCGCGGATCGCCTCAATTAACTTGAGAATAGCAGGCTGGTAGCGCGTCATGTCGATAGCAGCATCCCATAATAACCAGGAGACACGTTCGCCTTTGTCCACGACGTTGTTCTGGCGCTCCTCGACCACGCGGCCCTCGTCGACGAGCGACATTAGTTGGCGAGCAGCATCCTCTGCTGCAATGGCATTGGCTGTGCCGAAGGTCTCGGCAAATTCTCGCAGGGTTTGAACTTCGTCCAGAGTCGGAGGGTCTTCCTCGTCCGGGTCCGGATGGGAGAAGCGTTCCCACTCAGTGTAGTCGTCTCTCATGGATGGCAACGTTGGACGCCAGTTTTTGAACAGGTGTTGCAGATGAAGGAGTCAGGGACTGTATCATTCGGCCTTTTTAAATGGTTCACGCTAGTGACCAATTCTGAAAGTGGATCCAAGTTCACCGTACAAGTCTAACTTTTAACCGGACACACGGTTAATCCGGACACCTGCCAAGCTGGCCCCCATCACAAATACTTGACACAGGATATTTCAGCCAACGCCTATTGTATATGAAGCGACGGGAATGGTGGGTTTTCAGGAAAGCTCTCTATCTATACTGAATATACGAGGGCCAAACACCGCTGTTCGACCTATATTCACAGGATGCACCACAGTTTCGAGACTCACTGTACTGCAGGTGCGCCTGGCTAGCGCGTTCTGATAGAAATCTTACAATCTACACGCGGTTTCAGGAGAGCGCGGGCCCTGAAATGGTCAAAACCTCTTTTGGAGAAATGCTGTGTTCTCCAAGGTGGGACATTTGCCCCAGAGATCTTAAGTGCTATCAGCGAGAAAAAAAAAAGGAATATGTAAAAAGGGCATTATCGGCCAATGCGCACTCGCGACATTCTCCATATGCATGGGTATGATTTATGAATTAGAAAACCATCCTACCTCGATCGGAGTATACTGACCAGCGTAGCCTAGCTCTAATCCATAGTAATTTATAGAACTCCACTTCGGGCGACACTAAAGAAAGTCGGGAAGAGGACTCCGAGACTAAACTGTATATGGAAGTGAACCATTTGCCCTGAACTACTGAATTAGTGGTCCAGTATTCCTCTACTTACACTAGTCGAGAGTAGAGCGAGAATTGAGGAAATGAGGGACACTAACACAGTAGTGGTCACCAAAAAGCGATAACCCAAACAAGATACTTGATTATCTTATTAATGAAACTCCGTGTCTATGCCCTAATCAGCAAGATACATACCGATGCTCAATGCTACATTTGTTGTTTTCAAATATATAGGCACGTGACAGACTAAGCCTGAAGGGTTTCGAGGCTCGAGGGCTCGGTTGGAGCTCCAACGCCACCGGCTAGAGTCTCACGGCCTCCCGAGGCGAAGCTAAGTATGCCAATCTCCGCAACGCTACCTAGGCTATCCAAGAGGGGAATTTTGGCGAAATTTTCTATGTGGCGTGCTATTGCACATAGCCTGTACTTATGACTTCTCAACAGCATTCGAAAATGAGAATTTGCCATACTACCTGTTTATTAAGATGGCCTTTTAACTAATGGTTTAAGGATAAAATTCCCTGGCATCTTATCATTACTTTGAGAGAAATACACCTGAGACTAGGGTAGCGATTAGCTTAATTGATGTGTGGCAAAGTACAATATTTTTCATCTGGCCTTCCATTTCATCTAGATAATTCCATGGCACTACCAGGCACTAACAATCTAGTCTACCACTGGACCTGTATTTCATTCGGTACCATCCTAAACAATGAGGAATACCGGAAATTGGTACTTAAATAGGCAGATTTTCATGTTTGTTTCTCGTAATAAGCAGTATCCGCGGATAAGACGGAAGTTAGCACGGAGTTGACTAGGAAAATGCGACCGAATTATGTATAAAAACCCATTGCTCCCCCGTCCAACCGACAGTGGGCTGTCTTTCTGATATAGTCGAACAATTGTTCCTCTCTGCAGAGGTATCGCAGTATGAGACTATCTTCTTTGCTGGCAGTGGCCCTCCTAGGGCACTGTCAAGTCCAAGCTGCAGCCGTTTTCGCGCACTTCATGGTATATCACAGCCCCTATCTCCTCCTACTATACGTAATGGCAAGAAGCTGACATGAATCACAGCTGATGAACGCGGAAAACTACACGGTGACCGACTGGCAAACAGACATCCAAGCAGCCCTAGACGCTCACATTAATGCGTTTGCGCTGAACATGGCTGTTGACTCCAGAGTTGCTGAAATTCTGCCAACTGCTTTCCAGGCTGCCCACGACAAGCATTTCTCATTGTTCTTTTCCTTTGACTACGCCGGGAACGGTCCGTGGAAAGCAGGTGACGTGGCCGCGCTCCTAGAGCAATACACAGCATCGACTGCGTATTACCTGTACAAAGGGCAATATATTGTGTCCACATTCGAGGGCCCTGCGCATGCAGAGGACTGGATCGATCTGAAGCAACAGTACAATGTCTTTTTCGTCCCTGATTGGTCTTCCATTAGTGCCAAGCCAGCTTCGCAATTGGGTGGTGGCGTGGCAGATGCTCTCTTCAGTTGGGCAGGTTAGCCGTGGGGCCCATAAGATATAGATACCTATACCGATACCTCTTATTATCAGTATCTAAACGAGTCTGGATTAAAGCCATATATGATGGCTGTTTCGCCCTAGTTCTTCACTAATCTGCCCAGTTATGATAAGAACTGGCTTTGGAGGGGCGATGATCTATGGTACAATCGCTGGGTCGAGGTTCTCTATAATCAGCCTGAATTCGTGGAAATTATTTCTTATAAGTTTAAGAAACCTTAGAGTATAACCTTGGCCTTATCTAAAAATTACCAGGGAATGACTATGGCAAGTCTCACTATATTGGACCCCTCTACGACTATGCCATAGAGGCCTTCACGATTGGGAAGGCCCCTAGTAACTTTGCCAAGGATATACCGCATGATGGTTAGCAATTGAATTTACCATTTTTAATCGACTTGTACACAGAAGGAACGGTAACGGTGACCGAAGAAAACGTCATTACCTAGTATCGTCTCTCCCCTGGTACAGCCTACGATAGTGGCACCACAGGGAACACTACTAACCAACTGCAGATAGAATTTGCCCCTAGTCAGATTATACAAGACCGTGTGTTCTACTCTGCTCTTCTAGTCGAGCCTGCAACGGTAACAGTCAGTATCGGAGGCGTCGTACAGGAAGGCTTATGGTAAAGATCATCTTAATTTAATTTTAAATATTCCAAAAGATATGACTGACATTATACACCAGGACCTGGGCTCTGGATGGAAAAATTGGAATTTATTATGGCAGTGTTCCTTTTATAGGAATAGGAGAGGTTATTATGACTATCTCCCGCGATGGAACTCAGCTTGCCCAAGTAACCAGCAAAGCCATCTCGTCTGCTTATACAGATGGGCTCTTTAACGCTTGGGTTGGGAGTATAATATCCCCTGCCGCTGTTTCCGCAAAGCCGCTATTGTCGATCTCGGAGCAGGCCTGTATTAACAGGACCGGTGTATACAACTTCGCTGGTCTCTGTGACTTCGCTTGCTCCTATGGCTACTGCCCAGTAACAGTATGTACATGCCGGCAAATAGGCAAGCCCCTAGCGGCTCCCAATTCCACAGGCGTTATCGGATATCCCATCGCCGGCGAGGATGCCAGTTATTCTAGCCTCTGTGCATTTAATTGCAACTTAGGATATTGTCCGAGCTCCGCTTATGGGACCGAGTAAGTCCCTCTGGTTATCCCCACCGTCTTAGACTTCGCACCTCCTGTATGTATTGCAGGCACTGGATCGGGTACTCTTACCGGCCTCTGTAGCTTTACGTGCAACTATGGCTTCTGCCTAATATATATTTGCACCTGCACTGCCCAGGGTAGCTTGGTACCAGCGCCGCCCACTATAGGTACCGGAGCCACTCCTATCGATGGGCTGGAGGACCATAGTCTTTGCAATTTTGCGTATAGCCATAGGTATTGTCCGGAAGGCGCCTGTGTTAAGGCCGGCAGTAAGAGCTCCGGCGAGGTCTATATTCCTCCGGGTATCTGGGATAACACGGATCCCGAGGTTCAATGCATCCTACCATACAAGATCATTTTACCCCCGTTCCCACTAGGCTCAACGACGACTATTCAGTTCCCTTCCATAGTCAGTTCTGTATGGACAAGGTCAGGCACCTCGACCGGCACAAAGACTACCATTCTTAACGTCCCATCACTGGTTACCGATAAGGTTCCCTTTTGGCCCGTTGTCATCGGTGCCGATACCTCCCCTACTAGATTTTATCCCCTTCAAAGCTTCATGCCGGAGTCGTCGGAGCTTGTGCTTTCGGGCGACGAAGCTCCCTTCTCCCCAGTTCCATCGGGCAGCGCAACGCCGGCACCCGTCTTCCCAGGGGCCCCTTACACTGTTACTTACCAGCCCCAGGCCACGAAGTCGATTTCATTGAGTGTAAATATTCCTTCTGTTACCTGGTCGAGCGCTAGTCCAACTGAATCCTGTACCAGCGGCTGTGGTACCGACAGTTGCAAACTTTTTGGTGGATGCGACTCGACAGACCCAATCGATGATTGTGGTCTTTATGGCTGCGGAGGAGGATGCAGCATTCAAAGCTGTGACCAGTCCTGTGGCGTCGCTTGCTCTACTGACCAACATCATCTTGACTCCGATAGCACCGGCAGCAGTGGAGGTGGTGGCGGCGGAGGGAGCGATAGTGGAAGCAGCAGCAGTGGTGGGAGCGCCGATGGCCAGCAGGCAAATCTCCCCATGGACTACGACGGGCCGGACGGCCTCGCTAATGGCGAGTGGAATCCGACGCCCATCCTTGTCGAAGATGCCGCGGCAGTCACGAGCGGAATGTCCGCCATTATGGCCCAAGGGACGCCGTGTTTCGAGTCCGCTTTGTCACTTTTGACTGCCTCGCAAACGGTACCCGCGGATCTGTATTCTACGGTTCATGCCTCAGCAACTTCCCTCAAGCAGTCCATGTCCACTCAAATCAGTGATTTGAAGGATAAGATCAATGCTGCGGATCCCGAAAACTTCCAAGCGGTCACTTCATGGTTTACCACCTGGCAGGACGATTTCAACGTCCGGGTTGACTCGATGATTCAAGGCATTGAGGAGCCCTACGCTGAAATCGAATTGCAAGTATCACTTGGAAGAGCACAAGGTATGAGACTTGCCATACCTGACAATCTGTTCTCATGTTTCATCCACGTTCATACTGACCAATAACAGACGATGTCGACATCTTCAGCGAAGCAGCGAGCATTGAAGCCAATGAAGATATATGCGAGATTAACCCAAATATGGGCTCTAGCACTCATCCCATTACCCGAAAGCGTGCAATTCCCCCATCATGCGCACCGGACTTTCAAGGAGACCCGGGCGAGCCTTCCAATGCAGCTAAGATACCGGAATGGATCGGCTGCGACACCCGACTTGGTTTTGAGTACGCTAGCAGCGCCGACATTCTCGGTGCGATGAAGCAGGGAATTAAATACTTCCTCTCCAATGCGAGGGGCGTCCCGCGCTCTGGTCAACCGGACTGGCAGACTGCCGCAAAGGCCGCATATCCCCACATTTACAGCAATAGCGACAACATTGACTTCTCTGATGAATGCATGAATGCCGGAGGTGACTATACTGGATTTATTGAGTTTCCTATCATGCCTGATGGGAGCATCTTGGAGGCCGGACGAAACTCTCGTATTGACGTTGGTGTACAGCGTGTTGTGTTCAAGGCCAAGGCGAGCAGAGACAGAGCCGCTACTGATTGGAGTTATCTCTATTGTGGTGTGATGAGCCATTTCACAAATCTCCTAGAGACGCACATCATCGATGGTGAGCCGAAGAGGGTTTTGCCTTTCAAACTCTGTGAGGCCACTTGCGCATCTGACGTGGTTGGGCAATGCAGCTGGATGTGGGCTTGAAGAAGCAAGAGTCAACCGAGGTGCGATTCGCAAAGATGGTTGGGACGGGAAAGGGCGCTCTCATTATCACAGACTGACTCGACTACGTGGTGGCTGTTAATCGTTTCTTCTTCTCTTGCCCGCACTTATTGCCCGCATTTCATTTCGCGAGATGTGAGGGTCCCACGTATACATAGAGATAGATAGCGTCTCTGGATGAACAATCAATATTGAGAACAACTATAGTTGACTCTAGATACAAGACGTAGCGCGGGGAAGCTACTTTCTTTTGACGTAGCGCGAGGAAGCAAAAGAAGGTAGCTTCCTCGCGTTCCGGGGAACCCATATACACTATGTGGGTCCCGCGCAGATCATCTCCGTCCATCTTGTATGCTTCATGTGTATCCTTGACAGACACGGGATCACGCCATGTCTTTCCAAGAACTTGCAAAGAGATCCATGATACCTTTAGTATTTTTGATAGCATTGTGATGCACTATCGGTCCTCAGGTTGTACAGTTACGCCAGATGGCCAAAAAGAGACAATATTTGATCGACAATCAGGTCCAAGTGCGACAGTTTTAGCACTGCGTCCCCGGGTCGTGGTTGACGCAGACATACTACAGAACCTCGGTTCTGGGTTGCATGCCATAGGCCCGGAACTATTGTCCCTTGCCTGTCCCAAATTTCAGCCCATTGTACTGAACGTCTAACCAACTCACAGCAACGGCGTTCGGACAATACTTTCGCCGAAATCCGGATCAGCTGATAAGCCAGCTAGCTCGAGTACCGGTATCCCTAATTCCTCTCTTTCTTTCGATAACCCAATGGCCAATACCAGCCCCACCGATTACAAGAAACTCTTTTTGCAGGCCGAAGAGCGAGAGAAGCAAGCCCAAGAGCGAGAGAAGCAAGCCCAAGAGCGAGAGAAGCAGCAAAGGGAGCGCAATCGACGAACGCATTTGCAGAACTCCTGCGCTTCTGCCACAGCTTACTTTCCCGACCGCTGAGAGTCGAAACATCGTCTCGCTCAACTACAGGGAGCATACCTCCGCCCACCGGAAAATACTGTCCCACACGACTATCATTATAGACCGATTGTTCAGCTCGACAGCAGAAAATATACAGCTCTGTGTGCAACTACCTGCAGCCAACCGAGGAAGCTCAAGCACGATTGTTTACCCCCTTGATAGCGCTTGAGGAGGATGCCAGACGGTTCGGTCTCCGTCCAATTAGCAGTGAACAAGGTCTCGAGAACTACGAGCGAATCGCCGTGGAAGATCACGTCCGTGATATAATTGCAGAGCTATATATAGTAGATCAGAGATAGTTGCCCTTACGGCTTAGCCGCCGGGCGTTAATAAATTGTGTGTGTGTGTGTGTATAAAGGCTGAACTCACTGTGATATATTCAAAAACAGTCTTTTTTTTTTTGGTTAAGTAACTCGGATGCAGAGGAATGATGAAAACTATTGTTTTCGGAGTAAGTGACTAGGCATATATATTCCCCTTTAAAATGGCATCACTTTAGGCAGAAATGCTAGGCCAAACGGGCGAGGCTTAGAATTCCTAGGATTAGAACGAAATAGCTATAGACATTTAGAGCCCTAATAATACCGATGAGCTCCTGGGAGCCCGCAGGAGCTCATCTAGGTATTACTGTTGATAGTTTGTCTTCGGTTTACAACCTACTTAGAAATAGCGCAAAAGACATGACATTATACGCTCAGAAACGCCTTCGACTTACACGCTCATTAGCGAGAGAAGTAGTTCATCGTCGTACCTGCTAAACACTGATTACTCTAGTTGTCTTGATACAGGGAAGGGCTCTAATCAAGGAAATCCGTCCAATCGCCCTCGCCCTGGTAGTAGTCCAAAGCCCGATTAGGGGATCGCCGGGCTGGTAAGCGAAGTATTCCGAGGGTATTCCCAGGAGCATAGGCTGAAATGGGAAAATGATGGGTCAGTTGAATAGCCCCACTGCGAGGTTTTCACTTGGATAGGGTCGAGACCGCTAGGATGAACGGTCACGTTGACTGCGCCAGTCCTTTTTTGATAGGCGATCTAAATGGAAAGGGTTACACGTGATAGGATTAGCGTATCGCATTTTAGTGATATAGCTTACTCAGGCCGCTCAGCCGTACATTCAGTGAGCACTCAGTGAGCAAATCAGGATACTCAGATAATGATCAGTAAGTGGATCAGGGTGCTCAGGGGATGATCAGGTGATACTCAGTGAGCAGATTACGTTAATTATATAATTGCCCGTGATCAAGTCAGGGTACTCAGGGACGTGCTCATTTTTACTCAGTGATCAAAAAGCGGCAAGAAGTGAGCACTAAAACGGAAAGGGAAAGGTCTTGAGTGTCAGGCATTATCCGGTACATATGTGGTTGCTCCTTTGCCGAGTCTCACCTCACTGTCACCAACCAGTGGGTCGATTTCTGGAGGGAACACGGTCACATTGACAGGAACAAACTTAGGATTTGTTAACTCTGTGACATTCGGCGGCACGGCTGCGACTAGCGTGGTAGCACTTTCCAACAACACGGTAGCAGCGGTCGTCCCCTCAACCGTGACACCGGGAGCTGTAGACGTCACGGTCAGTGATGCAGCTGGCAATACCAGCACTCTGACCGGGGGTTATACATACACTACGATATCAGCACCCACCGTCACATCTCTGAATCCCAATAACGGCCCTGCGACAGGCGGAACGTTGGTTGCGGTGACAGGAACTGGGTTTGTAAACGCCACGGCCGTGACTTTCGGCACAACTTCGGCTCTATCGTACACGATTGTTTCGGGCACTTTGATCAATGCTGTTTCTCCGCCTGGAACTGGTACAACTAATGTTTTCGTCACTAACCCGGGCGGAACGAGTGCGGCTGATACTGGCAATGTTTGGACTTGGAATCCTACTCCAACCCCGACTGTCACGAGTTTGTCCCCAGTCAGCGGACCATTGAGCGGCGGTAATGTCGTCACGGTGACCGGAACGAATTTGACTGGCACAATATCAGTCACATTTGGTGGTGTTACAGCGCCCTTCTTCGTTGTCTTGTCAAGCACTGCCCTCAATGCGACAGTCCCCGCGTCGACTGTCGCCGGTACGGTTGATGTGGTTGTTACAACACCTAATGGATCTAGTCCAATCAACCCGGGAGACCAGTATACTTACATTGCTGGCCCCGCACCCACAGCTGTGGAGCCGTCGGCAGATCTCATAAGTGGAGGTACACAGGTTGCGATCACAGGAAGTGGTCTGACGGGAACTACGAGTGTGCTATTCGGAACCATCCCTGGTACCGCAATAAATGTTGTATCCGACTCTGAAGTGGATGTGACTACACCTTCGCATGCAATTGGGACAGTACCAATTACGGTGACTTCTACTGGAGGGACCAACAGCTCACTGACCTTCACCTTCGAGGCTCCGCCGATTATATCTACGATCACCCCAGCCTTTGGTTCCACTGCAGGAGGAACTGCAGTTTCCATCAGCGGCGCAGGTCTGTCGAATACAAATGAGGTTCTGTTTGGGGCCACACCTGCTACGGCCCAAGCAATCATTTCGGACAACCAGCTGACAGCGACCTCCCCTCCTGGACCGGCCGGACTGGCTCCTGTGACTGTCGTGACTGATGCTGCTTTTAGCGATGCCGTGCCTTTCACTTATTTGGGCGCTCCGACTCTGGCAGCGCTGAGTCCTACCACGGGATCTCGCCTTGGGGGTAATAACGTAACCCTAACCGGGTCCGGATTCACTCAGGCTACCGCAGTGACATTCGATACCTCTGGAGCCCTATTCACCGTTGAAGATGACGGCACTATCACTGCTGTTGCGCCTGCGCACGTCGCGCTTGGCGCCGTGCCCGTGACGGTCACAACCCCGGGCGGCATCAGTGGTCCCCAAACCTACACCTACACTTGATTATTGAGGAAGGCCCAGGAGAAGGCAGAGACCAAAGGACTTGGCACGACTCAGAGATGTCTTATTGGGGTTTTCAACGAGATTCTCCTGCTGAAAGGAAATGATTTTTATTTACCACCGGTAGTTTAAGCGTACAACACGCTAAGCTTTGATTTTGGGGCGAGCAAACGTTTTAACAACGTAACAAAGCTAACAAATTGGAGCAAAATTCGAGTTTTCTTTGCAATTATTTTCTCCAAGTATGCAGATTCACGTACGCCATGCTTTAGGGGCATATATTGGCTATTAGCGCGTGAAATATCCGACATGAATAGTCTAGGGCCATGGGGCTGTCTCTACGATTTGATAGTAATAGTTACTGGGAGGAGGATGAACTAAGTCATGATTTAGACGGCTTCCCGGTAGGAAAGTCCTGAATACTAGGAGGAATTACAACAGAGCATTACAGCATTACAGTAAAACAGTCCATATCTAGTGGCTGTTATAGTGCAATGTGCTAGTGACCCAATTGGGATCGTCTCATACGATGAGCTAGCTGATTAGGAGAAAGGTGGTGCTTGGCTTGTATAAATATTCAACATCATAGTTATGTATGCACGCATGAGGTGTGGTAGGTGTGGTGTGTTACACGAAGTACATTATTGGTTGATCTGGAAAGATCATCGTATTTTAGATTCGATTTCATCACACTGAGATTGTATTTCCATATAAGATCAAATCACTCGCAATATTCAGAAGACTATTCATAAAATCCAGAGTCCCTATTGTATAAGTTCTAACAGTGCCGAACACTGCAGACTTGTGGGTTTGTGAGCCTTGTAGACGATGCAAGGGGGTTGTTTACTCTAATTTCCCGGATGTGCCTCGACGACGGTGGCTTGCATGCGTCGTACAACATTGTAAACCCTACCTACTCACCATTTGATGTGATTGATATGCACTAGGACGATCATTATCTCATTTTATTTAATAGCTAACCATCTTCCTTGATCCATCTCGCTATTCTATATATTATCAACTCTGGGCAAGATATGGATACAGTGCGCGAGTCACCTCTGGGACAGCTTTTACGAGAAATCACCGGTAATAGGATTCTACTTTATCCGGAAGAAAAGCCGGGATTTGTTCCATCGAAGTCGGCAGAGACAAAATACCAGATTGAGTCCAAACAAAGTCTCGACGGCAACTCTATTATAACCCCAGCACTGACTTCAGACTTCCCCCCGGATGTAAATTCGGATGGAGCACACACGCGAGATGAGACAAAGAATATAGTCGATTGGTACGGACCAGACGATCCAGCAAACCCGAGAAATTGGTCGTTATGGAAGAAGAGATTTGTTACCTTTCAGATATGGTACAGACCACCTCGCATTTTACCTCTATGCTCACACAACAGTTTTTCTAAGCCTTGACAGTTTGTACACGTTCGCCATCTATTCTGGCTCCTCAATCTACGTTCCAGCTGAACCGTAAGCTCTCAATCCAACAACAAAACTTTCATGGCGACTAATTACCCAACAGCCAGATAATGGAACACTTCCAAGTCAGTCAAACGAAGGCTTCATTGGGTTTGGCATTATATGTATTAGGCTGTATGTTCCTACCATATCTCTCGCAGGATAAGCCCTAACGCTTCGGTTCCTACAGATGGCCTTGGTCCGTTGCTCTTCTCGCCCTTAAGTGAGGTTCCATTGTATGGTCGCAATATCCCATATATTACCTCCTTAATCATCTTTGTCATGCTGTGTGTTCCTACCGCTTTGGTGGACAACTACACCGGACTTATGGTTCTTCGACTTCTCCAGGGCTTTTTCGGAAGCCCTTGTCTGGCAAGTGGTGGTGCCTCGATGACAGATATGGTTCGTGCAACAATGCCTTTTAGTGTAAGAGGGTGTATTCCTCTGCTAGAACTGACAATCTATCGGACTATAGTATTCGGATATCTACCTACCGCTAGGATTGACCAGCTGGGTTGCTGCTGCGTACGGTGGACCAGCTCTTGGTCCGGTTTTGTCGGTCTTTTCAATCGCTAAAAAAGGGTGAGTCAATCGATATTGCATGCATCATACCAGTGGCTAACTATTAGTCAGTTGGCGGTGGGCGATGTGGGAAATTCTTTGGCTGAGTGCACCCATCCTTGTTCTTATGACCGTCTGTCTTCCAGAGACATCGACCGATAATATCCTCCTCCGTCGCGCACGGCGACTACGCAAAGTTACTGGGAACTCGAACCTTTTCTCGCGGTCTGAGATTGTGCAGAACAGCCAATCATTTTGCGACATGCTCCTTGATTGCCTGATAAAACCCGTCGAGATAATGGTCAAAGACCCAGCCGTGCTATTCGCCAATTTCTATACATCCCTCATTTATGGAATCTATTACTCCTTCTTTGAAGCGTTTCCGTTGGTTTATCCGGCCAAATATGGGTTTGATGCTACGGATGTTGCGCTAATCTTTATCTCGATTATTATCGGCTGTGGGCTTGCAATTGTTGTCTATATTGTTTATCTTCATACCCGTCTCATGCCAGATCTAAAAGCCAACGGCCAACGTGCACACGAGCATCGCCTGGCCCCTGCTCTATTCGCTTCTTTCGGGCCACCGGCCGGACTTTTTATTTTCGGTAAGCAGAAGCACCCCGTTCAAGGCGGCGGTTTAATATGAACCCAGAGACTAATTTTCATGCCGTTTAGCCTGGACTACCAACGGAACTATCCATTGGGCTGTGAGCGCCTTCGGTATTGTCCTATATGCAGGATCTATCTTCATTATATTGCAATGTGTATCTGTATACCTGCCGCTTGCGTACCCGAAGTATGCAGCTTCTCTGTTTGCCGGAAATGATATCTCACGATCTGGTGTTGCGTTTGCGTTCATCCTCTTCTCTCGATTCATGTTCATTGACCTTGGAATTGAGAAGGGGGTGACTCTGTTAGCTGGATTGAGTATCTTAGGGATTGTAAGTCTCCTATGCGACAATTTGGTACATTCCATGTGTTAACTTATACCCCAGATTGGCATGTTTATTCTCTACTTTTCCGGTGCAAATCTCCGTGCTAGATCTAGCTTTGCAGAGCATAGCTGAACAAGTCGTGGCGATCGCTTTCGGTTCTACTTTCGGTTTTCATTCAAAGAGTTCGTAGTTTCGTCTATAATATGAAGCATTTGGTCTCACTTTTTAATCTAAACCCCAAGTGCAGAGCGACAGGGAAACGAGAGACTTTCTCGATGCATGCTGACTATCGGATGACATAATCAAGCTCTAAATCCATGGATGCCTGATTGTGCCTGAATATGCCTGAATCACATAACGTAATTCACAAGCGAGTGACGCACCCCACCTAAAACGCGTCTATGGTTTAGCACTTAGTTAATTCAACCACCCACCATGCCACCAATTCGCTCTCGAAGCTCTCAAAATTCAATAGAGCAAGAAGGCAGGATCTTGTTAGCTATCCAGGCTATTAAGAGTCAAGAAATCAGTTCTATTCGTGAGGCAGCACGCCGGTTCGACGTGCCTGAAACTACGTTACGTCGCCGTCTCCGCGGTATTACAAACCGCGCGACTTCTCGCGCCAACTCGCATAAATTAACAGAAATTGAAGAGGAATCTCTTCAGAAATAGATTCTCTCTATGGATTCTCGCAGTTCAGCCCCGTGGCCCTCTTCGGTACGAGAAATGGCGAATATTCTCCTCGAATACTGTGGAATAACCCCGGTCCTTTTAGTTGGCGAAAATTGGGTTACAAACTTTATTAAACAGTACCCTACCCTTTCCTCCTAATTCTTAAGATATTATAATTACGAGTATGCGAAATATAAAGACTTAAGGATTATTAGAGAGTGGTTTAATCTAGTTTAAAAAACCATTCTTTAGTATAGAATCGATCTAGACGATATTTATAACTTCGACGAGACGGGTTTTGCTATAGGATTAACTATAATAGTAAAGGTTATAACTAGAAGTAAATACTATAGTTAGAGATTACTTTTATAACCTAGAAATCGCGAGTAGGTAACTGTAATTAAATATATAAATATAGCGGGGTAGGCCCTCCCTCTATATATTATTTTCAAAGGTAAGGTCTTCTTTAAATCATAGTTTAAAGACCTTCCTAGCGACTAGCGCTTTAAAGTTAGTCTAAATAGGTAGATATTAGATAAAATAGGCCTTCATTAGCTATAAAAGCTCTTTATTCCAACTACTTCTTCTTATACAAAGGGAGTATATCGGCTTTTAATACTCGATAGCCACAGAAGCTATTTAATACTAAAGTTTAATAAAATTTATAAGTAAAACAATATTATACTAATTTATATACTACTGTATTCCTCTTACCTTTTATAACTACTTAATATCGGCTGTTTTACGGTATTAAAGTAGGTATATAGTCGGCTAGTTAAATTAAAAATATAGGTTGGGATCAACTATATTAATAAACTTAACTTCCTCGAAGTATACCCCCTTATACGAAATAAAGCTTTTAAACTAGAGATAATCAAAAATAGCTTCTTAGCAGCCGGTTTAGTACCGTTTTTACCTAATTAGGTCCTTTTAAAGCTAAATATTTGTCTTTAAACACTAACTCCCCCCCTAAGCTGGGATAGCGATTAGGACCTAAAAACACCGTTAAACTACGTTTAATTATAAAAGTAAGCTTTATCAATTAAAGCATTGCTTTATATAAGATTAAGAAGCCCTCCGAGCCCGCTTAATTCAGCTATTAACCAGGTTTTAAAAGCCTGCTAGATTACTATACAATCTACCGCACTTCTTAAGAAAGAAGTAAGCGATTTACAGGCTGCCAACGAGAAGCAGAAGTAAAAGCATACTAGATCCCAGAGGTAGATACCTTCTGAAGAAGGCCTCTCCGTTTAGGAAGCTTCTTAATTGATTACTACGCCGGTGGAAGTAGCTGAAGCACCCCCCCGCGCTCAGCGAAGAAGGCCTTCGCTACCTTTACAGCTAAGAACTAGGGCTTTACTAACGTGCGGGCTATATAAAACTCAGGGCTATAGGAGAGATACATGTCCAAATAGATGATGATTTTAGTTTATTCAATTTAATGGCGTTTTGGTTGGGATAAATACATTCAAAATTAATAGGTTGGGTAGGGTGCGTCACTCGCTTGTGTGCGTCACTCGCTTGTGAATTACATTACCGCTTTCGACGCCGCTAAATTGAAGCTATTCCTACCCTACAAACCATCCCTTTCTTCGAATCCCTAGCGTTGAAAACCGTCCCGGCCGCATAAACCATTGAATTGAAGCTATTCCCACCCAAAACTGGAGCCCTGGAGCTGGAGGGCTATCGGATCGAACACTTCAACCAATTCTTTTGTTCTCATCTTACTCTCTCCACATCCTTGTCCCAAGAAAGAATGATGGTTATCAACTACGAACAGAAACGTCTCGGTTCATAGGGATGCTGCGCTCCCTGCTGCGCTTAACCATCGGATGTTTACTTTCAAAGCCTCCAGTCAACGAATACGGACGCGTCAACTTATTTGCACATCGTTCTTAGGCTTGACCCCTGCTTATTTGGGCTAGTTGCCACCTAGTCGCCGGATTTCAGTTGCGCGCGATGACTTTCTATAGGCTGACGCATGGCAAGACTATCCAGATCTGACTGATATTTCTGGATGGGGTTCATGACAAGTTTTATGGTCTGACTACGTGGTATCAACACTCAATAACGGAATCAAAACAGACTGGAAGTTTCAAAAGGAAGGGGCAGCACGATCTTCACTGCATCGATTGAGGCTTGCGTTTCACTGCCTACATACCTAACCATCGACGCTACAACCTAATTTCTGTTTGTTTATTGGCAACGTCACTACATCGAGTACATAGAAAGGCTTGGGGTAGGTCATCCATACCGGTTGATGACCCAGTCGAGATTTTTGCAACATGGTCTATAGATCAGTTACCCACGCGAAACAGCTTCGGAGAGCGATATCAAATACATACGACCCGTTCTTCAGCCTCTACCATAATGTCCTTTCCTATCAAATCAATCCCTGTTAGAAAATACAGGCCCACATTCCTAAATTATCATCGACCAATGTTATCGCTTGAATGTCAGCGATCAACAATTCCACCACCGAGGAATCTCTCATTCCGCGATCGGCATGCCATCGCCGAACAAACATTCAGTCACAACCATTATTATTAAGAACCAATACCAGAACTCCATTCTCACCTCGAAATATCTGTCTGCCTTGATTTTCCTTTCCGTGGCCTGAGCTTGGGAATTTTTACACAAATCAGCAATTGGATAGGCAGTCGATCGTGGTTTGATTGGTATTCCAGCCCTCGGGTGAGTATGTACATGTGTCTGTGGTTAGAATTCCACACGCGGCATTTCATCGCTAAGGCCTCTATCTAGAGGATAGGCGCAACTAATATCCGTAGCCCGTGTTGTTAAAGTTTTTTTTTTCTACTCTACTCGTTGAATCAGTGTGCGTCCCATCTTCAACTCACTGCTTCGATCGAATACATTGACATCCTCATTGATGGGACATACCCACACCACTTTCACCACTCGATTTACAATTGCATCCTCATACATCAGTGGTTGTTTTCTTCTCAGCCGGTCCGGCGACTATCCCTTCAGTCATCCAGTCGACACCACGCAACAACCAACGCATCCACCAACACATCCACCTCGGTTCGATAGCATATCATTATGGCTCTTGTTCGAGACCCATATTTCTGGAAACGGTTCTCAACTGCAGTCCACATGGACGAAGAGTCAAAAGCAATTGACCGGGCACAAGCAAAACAGGATGCGTAAGATACCCTCATCTCCAATACATTTGTTGAACCTCAACTCACCCCCTGTAGGGCATCATGGCTTACCCGCGAAAGAATGAAGAGCAAGCGTTCGATCATTTGCGGCTTCATCATTTTTTTCGCCGTCGTGCTCGTCATCGTTGTCAGCGTGGTCCTATGGTGGCTTGCTAAGAACAACTGGCTCCAGCCTCATCCGGATACTGCTCAATAACCGGCTTTGGCTAGTGAAGCGTTTTTGATTTGATTTGAAATTTGGCGTTGAACTGGAGTTTGCATGGCATTGGAGATATACCCGCCCCCCATACGGCGTTGGGCATTTTGCTTAGATAGCTTTTATATAGAACTGCATACCATAGACAATCTTAATCCTCTATCTCATCAAGTTATCTCGTCTATCTATGGCATCTAATCTATGAGGCGCATGCACTTACCACAATAGGCATAGCGTGTCTGGGCAGTGGCTCCTTATCTTTTCTGCGGAGAAATTGCCGCTGGCATCTGGTGGTCGGTGATTTGTCCGATATTTTGAGGGTTTCGAGATCAAAGCAGACCTCACCCAAGTATAAAGTAAGTCTACATACATATTGCCCATTTCCGTACGACATAGCTAGATATAACTGTACAATCAAAACAGCCCTGAGGGTTGGTGTCCACGGCTAACCTCGGTGCTACCCGTCTAGCCGGGTCATATCGCATTCTCCACTTCTCCACTTCTCCGCATCGTATAAAACCCCCCCCATCTTCCCCCTCCTTCTCCTCTTTGTATCACACCGACATTATGCTTCCTCCATTTGACTATTTCGCCTACCGTCGCATACGGTAAGCTTGCCTTTCTCCTCTCGAGCTTACATGATCCGGGGCTAATATCTACAGGAACCATAAACAAAGCGAACGAGAACTCCGCTTTGCAGGTCTTCCGCAACAGTATCAACTCCCCATTTCCGACCAGGACCGGAAGACTATCGACCAGCCTATCGCGCAGCTTGTTCACGATGTCCACGACTCGAATGTCTCCGCACTCGATGTCCTCCGCACCTATGGAAAGGTAGCCAAAAGGGCTCATGAGCGAACCAACTGCGTCACCGAGCTGATGCTGCCCGAGGCCGAGTCATGGCTGCAGTCAGAAATCAACCTGAAGGGTCCGTTGGCTGGTATTCCGGTCTCGTTGAAGGATTCCGTTCACGTTAAGGGATTTGATGCAACTGTTGGATATGCTGCTATGGCTGGAAAGCCTATCTTGGAAGATGGGCCTATGGTGAAGCTCTTAAAGGACGCCGGTAAGCTTATGGCTCTTAAGACACGTTCGTTGGGAGCTGGATTACATACTGACTTTCATAGGCGCTGTCCCATACGTTAAGACTGCTCTGCCAATCACCCTGCTCTCTTTCGAGTCAGATAACGGGCTTTGGGGTCAATGCCGCAATCCACATGTTCCAGCATACTCGCCCGGTGGGTCAACCGGTGGAGAGGCAGCGTTGCTGGCGCAGGGTGGCCGCATTGGTATTGGATCCGATGTTGCTGGATCGGTGCGCGTTCCCGCCGCCTGGAGTGGTATTTATTCGCTCCGCTGCAGCACTGGCCGCTGGCCCAAGGGCGGCGTGAACACCAGCATGCCCGGCCAGGAGGGCATTCCTAGTGTCTTTAGTCCTATGGCCCGTACGTTGGATGATTTGACATACTTCACTCGTGCGATTATCCGTATGGAGCCCTGGAAATATGAGCATACTGTGCACCCCATTGCCTGGCGCAGCGAGGTCGAGTCTGAGGCTCAAAATAAACCTCTTCGCATTGGTGTGATGACCTCCGATGGTATGTACCGACACTCACCCTGATAGTCAAAGTCAGCCCACTTACAAATCTCTAGGTGTTGTCCCCCCAACCCCGGCTATTAAGCGCGCCATCACAACAACGGTAGCCGCGCTCACAGAAGCCGGTCACACAGTCTCAGAAATCACCACCCCACCCACAGCAGACCCCTTCACGGGTCTAAATCTCGCCTCGCAACTTCTCAACTCAGATGGCTGCCATCACTTCAACGTCAACCTCAAGAGCTTCGAACCCTCCGACCCAGGCGCCATCCAACTTACCCGCGTCGCTAACCTCCCCCGTCCACTCCGCTATCTCTTCTACCTCTACGTGCGCTACATTCGCCGCGATAAGGTCACCGCCACTCTCATCCGCGACTTCGGCCCCAAGTCCTCCGCCCAGGTCTGGACCCTGACCGCCCAGCGCGAAGCGTTCCGCGCCGCCTGGCACAAGTGGTGGGACGCCGAGCCCCAACAATTCGATTTCATTCTGTGCCCTGTCAACGCTACCCCGGCTCTCCCGCATAAGGCCATGCACGATGCCGTCTCCTCGTGCGGTTACACCTTCCTGTGGAACTTGCTCGACTACTCCTCCGGTGTTATCCCTGTCGGCCACGTAGACCCTATCCGCGACGCCCTCGACGCACCTTACAAAACCGTCCTTCAGCGTCTGGGCTGTGACAACGGCATCGCGCGGGGTGCATGGAAACACTACGACTCGGCCAAGATGGCTGGCCTCCCCACTGCCGTGCAGGTTGTCGGTCGCCGCTGGGAGGAGGAGCATGTCCTTGGCTACATGGCTGCTGTGGAGAAGGCGTTAGAGCAGTATCATGATCCACAGACCAGTGAGAGCTGTCGATATACCCTGTTGGAAATTGATTAAGTTGGACTAGCCTGGAATGCGTTAATTCGATGGGGAGATCTTCCGGACTAGTCCGGAGTATATTATATTATCCCCCCGTTAGTGCATGCAGCCAGTGATGTAGCTAGATCGTATTTGGTATAGTCTCGTATGCTGTCAATAGGATGATTGGGTTCTTAGCGGCGTCGGAGCCGAGACAATGAAATCCTTCGAGGTCGAGTTCACCGTTCTTCCCGAATATTTAATTCTCTCTCCTTTTTTTCTCGACAGCTCCAATTCCTCCAGTGACGGGGATAAATGCAGTGTAACGGCGCTATGCGTGGTGATATGCGGGGGGCCTGTTGACATGTCTGTGGGGATTCTCTTGGGTTTTCGTCTCCGTCGATCTGCACGGAATTCTCGTCGATCTGCACGGGAAAGGCCTTTCGTGCCGAATTTGTGTGAACTCGACAATTCGCTATTTCTTACTTCAATCGTTTATATCCCCACACACATCCTTTCCAGCTCCGTACTCGGACTAGCTAAATATTAATATGTTCTCGTCGATCGACGGGCCAATGCCAGTGGACCTGTCACCTGAGTCTTAGTCGATGCAGACCCTACCTGATGTCAGCGCTAACCCTAACCATGCCATCACATATCATATATCCCTCATGTCAGGCGTCAAACCCCACGCTGATTAGCTGTGTATTGTCTAGACCTCTCCACTAGCCTTTCTTCACGTACTTTCTCGGTGCTATACGTATATTCTTCCTGCAGATCTTCGGTACGGCAGGACTGAAGATGAGGGGACGTCGGAGTCAACCGGGGCTTTACTGTCACAAACTGCGGGTTAGCGGATCCGAGCACGGTGTTTACAGGTGGGAAATTGTAGCTAAAGGAATTTCTGCATTCACTAGGAGGAATACATAGTGATTGTTAGCCGTTTCGGCCGAGGAGACTCGTCACTCGAGGTGTGAATGGAGTACGGAATACGGAGTATTCCGTAGATAACCAGAAGGCCGCTGACTGGACTCATAATCAAGCACGTATTGTCTCATATTCCGGTTGGCTTGCATCAGAGGAACAATGAAGCTCTATAATATGGGGAAAAGGCAAACGTGGAAAAGAAAGACTAGGTTAGCATGTAAATTGCATAAAGAGGCTAAATGTAACAATTCAATTACAATGTGCTTCTATATCAGACATAATGAATAGTATTTCCAAGTATCTACAACATAGACTTACTCCGTCGAATTCACTGGAATTGCCACTCCAAGATGATTAACCTCACGATCGACGGGGTCCCACCTATCAGAGCCACTTTTCTTTTCCCTTCTTTTCCATAGGCCTATCAAAAAAGGTCAAACCCCGTGGGAATCATATTTCCGTCGAGCATTGACGCACTCCGTATATAATAATGTAGTGATATGGCAGTTCAACGTACCCTGCCACTACCACGGATTGTAATAGGAATTCCCCTCGAACAAAGACATCTAGACCGCGGGGGATATAGAATTGCAACGGGGACTGCTTGTACCGTAGAAGAGTGTCATAGCATCCATGGAAATAAAAGAAGCTGTGGCAATAGTCTGACATTCTATGTGTCCACTATACTAGGATTCCCGGGGAATGACTGGGCCCAAGAACATTGAAAGGAGAACCCCCTGTTTGGCAATCTTATTTCAGGATCGACTTCGTATTGAACGGCTATTCGGAGTCCTTTTCCTTGAGCTCTATGAAAGGAGGTCCTCTTCAGACAGAATAGATCAGAATACTCCGTGCAATATAGAGTCACTATACACATGCAGAAGACTCCACCACTGTCAGAATGCACGTACTAGTAATAGAATCCTTGAATCAGAGCCTGGAAGCAAATAATAGAACCGAATTATCGAATATAATAAAAAAGGAGTATCATAAAAGTAAAAGTACGCGATTGATCTGCGGTCACGGGAGCTCCCAAGCTTCTTCCTCTTTACCCTTTTCTTCCCCACTCCCAAACATCTTCGAGGCTGTCAAAAGTCACAAAAAATTGTCAAATTTGTCTGATATGATCTACATAGGGCTTTGCTGTCAATATCAATAACCGATCACCTTGTTTAAACCTCCATTTGAGCTTCAACCTCTTTTCCCCTTCGGAAAGATCATGCAGGATCTAGCTGTTACATATATCTCTCACCGCTTGCCGAGCCGGTGATGTCGTCAAGAAAGAAACAGAAGAAGGATAGCATTCATTTTGTCAATGCTAGACCCGCCTCCGAGACCGAACGACTGAAAGCCCAGCGTCTGGTGCGTGCCCATGTCGGACGCTGGATTTCAGAAACAAAGGACCGATCCGCAGGCGAATCATCCAGTTCACGCATCCGACCTGTCCGCGCCTTACCCGCCGTTGCGCACGCCGGTCCCGGTCCTGGTCCCGGTCCCTCCTATACCCTCGTCTCGCGTCCCTCGAGCTCCCATCGGGGGAGCAACCCCGGTCAATTCACCTTTGCGCACAACTCCCGCTCCAACCAGGCTGCATACCGAGACTCGCCGTTTCCGCCATCCCAGGCCAGCGATAGCAGTGATAGCAGTAGCAGCGACGATGCGAGTACCGTGACCACGTTCTCCTCGGAGGCGCTGGCTGTCATCCGGTTCAATGATCGCTCTTCTCCTGAGCGGCTTGAACGCAACCTCTCTGGAGTCTTCGACCCCTTTGCAACATACCCCGCCCCGAAGAGCTTCGAGCCAGAGATGATCAATCTGTCAGAGCGCTATCTTACGGGTGTTGTGTGGCCGGGACTCGCTCCGCGGCCACTGAATGTCAGAGCTGCGGCTAATAAATGGTTTGATCTGTCCATGGCGGACCCGGCTTTATTTACAGCCTTCATGTTTGGCTCGCTGTGTCACCTCCGTGTACAATGGCAGAATAACTGGGTGCCGGGTACCGTATTTGGTCAGAGAGAGCGTCGTGCGCTGCAGCTGTGTGAAATGGAATCGATCAAGCTGATCAACCAGGCTGTTCGTGACCCCGATCGCGCGGTCAGCGACGCTGTTCTCCTCAGTGTCATTTGCATGGCTCATCATCAGGCAGAGGAGAAATTGGTACAGCAGCACCGCAGAACACCGTTTAATCCGCCTTTCCTGCGACTACAATGGATTGATGTCTACGGCTGTCTGCCACCGAATATGATCCATATCAAAGGACTGTTGCAGTTGGTCAAACTGCGAGGTGGATTGCCAAATATCCCCACAGAGGGTCTCGCCGCGACAATTTCCTTGTATGTCTCGGTTCTTTTTGGTTTCTTACTGACTGCCCTTACTGACCACTCATAGCTCGGATATCATGAGCTGCAGCGTCCTCTGCGTCCACCCATGCTTCGATTTCTGGCCCCTTGCCGATTCCCGATTAGGCTGGTCTGTCCAAGAAATGCTCGGCTTCGGCCCATCAGACGTCGACCAGGGATTCGGCCGTTTGCAGGAAATTGGCGCCACCCACCAAATGGCAGAAGCCTTCCAAGCGGTGCACACTTATATCGGGATCATTAAAGCGAGCCTGAATTTCACACCAGATACCTCTTTGCTCGCCGACCAGCGTAACCTGACCCAACATACCCTCCTCTCCCTCTCTCCAGCCTCAGACATCTCCACCTTTTTCTCTCATCCCACGCGTGCCGCCACCTATGAAGCCTGCCGTCTAGCGGCACTAATATTCGGGGTCGGCGTTCTCTTCCCAATCCCCGCCCAGAATACTCCCCTCAGTACCCTGGCGCGCCTTATACAGGCCGTCCTCTTCAAACCCTCGTCCTCAGAGCTGTGGTGTTCACCATCCACACGCGTCCCTCTCATCTGGGTCCTGACCCTCGGCGGTATCGCAGCGAACGATGCTCCCGAGCGCGCCTGGTTTGCCTCTGCTCTGGGAGATGTAACTCGCAGGACTGGCTTGAATTCATGGGCCAGCATCAAATCCGTCCTCGCAACTATGTTATGGTACGAAGCTGCCTGTGACCGCGCTGCAGAGGATCTCTGGCAGGAGGGCGCTAGTAAATATAGCTATGCCATCCAATGAGCAGCCCAATTCCCTCATTGGGAATCTCTCCGAACCTCATGAAGCGCGAATACACGCGCTTCCTCCCAGGATCTGCCGTGAGCTGCAATGACGCAGACCAGCCTTCTTATCACCGTCCTTCGAATCTCATTTTCACTATCGTTGTCATCCTCGGTTTTCTTTGAAATGGACATACAAAAATATATTGGGCTTGTATCATCGCAATCACCAGCGATATTAACTTGGACAAGGGGCATACATAGATATACCCACTGGGCATATCGATTTTGCGTAAACCTGCCTAAACTCGCCGTGCTGTGAAACCCGAACACTGTCACAAACACTCCCGGGCCCGGGCACTACTCTTTCTTCCTTTTTGGATTGCACTGGATATAATAGATCCACTCTTGGGTCTGGATCTGGATTATAATATGCCCTGGCATAGGCTGTGGCTTCCTCGCGCCCTATTGTCGTCTTTGGATGTTTGGGTACATCTGTATATAGTACATCTCTATTTGGGTAGCAACCATTCGAGATATAATACATAACGTTCTAATGTTCACGTCTCCAGATTTCATATTCCAGTCTTCATTGCTATGGTCCTCTCGTATTAGTGCTTGTAGGATTTCCCTAAATATCCTTAAATCTCCCATGTGCCATCCTCATATCCAATCACATTCACATTCATAATCATTCTTAGATACTTAATACAAACAAGGCGCCTCCGTCATATCAAGCCCATAAGATCAAGCTCCATACACTCTCCCAGGTGTTTCATTCCTCAACAACGGCTCCCTCTCCCTGACATCCTGATGATGCTCACCGTCACCCTTATTCCCACTCAAAACACTCGTCTGATAAGCAACAAACCCAACAAGTGCACTGCCAACCCCAGCAACCAGCACCGTAAGTCCAACATTAACAGGCACAGGATCTCCCCTCCAAACCCTCAACGTAAGCGCATCAAGTCCCGCCTGCGCAAAATTCCCAACACCAGCAAGACAAATAATAAGCCCGTAGACTTTCCCAAACGTCGCAAACCCAAACACCTTGGCCGCGTAGTCCGATACAGCAGTGTAATAGAACGGTCGGTACAGCACGAAGAGAATGATATTCCCATAGGCCGCGGTCGGATGCGGTATACAGCCCAGCACGCCGATGACGGTCGCCGACACGACAAGGATGAAGAGCACAGTGCGCGTCTGGAATACGTCTAGGAATGTGCCGATGAACGGCACGGAGACGAGTCCGCCGACTGGTAGGAGAATGTCGAATGTTGTGTTTATTTGTGCGGCTTTCTCGGCCGAGAGCAGGTAGGTGTATTGTGAGCGCAGCGTTGCGACAAAGTAATTTATGCGTAGCATCATTAGAACAGTGAAGGCTGTTATTAGTGCGAACCATGGTGTGCGTAGTTGGTACAGTGCGCTATGGCCGTGGAGCACGCCCCATATTCCGCCTGGTGTTGGATGAGGAGCGGTTGGTTGTTGGTGCGTTTGGGAGGGCGGTGTTGGAGTGTCGTGAACTCCTGTGGTGGTATTTACGTCGAGCGAGGCGTCGATGTTCGTGTGGAAGATGGAGTCGTTGATGCCATTGCCGGAAATTACGGATGCTGTGCCATCATCTAGTAGACCTTGGATCTGGCTGACGATGCTTTGGCGACGGAGTCGTCTGTCCATACGCTGGCGCTCGCGCTCGCTGCGGTCATTGACCGTGTCATCTATGCGATCGCGCATCTCATCTACGACCTGTGCTTCGGCTTGTTGCACGAGTTCGCCGGCGGTTTTGTATGATGTTGACGGCATTATCAAGATCTGTGCTGCGATGATGAATACCGGCACGATGAGGTATGCGGCGAAGAAATTGTCGATTGATACGACGCCATGCGTGTGCTCGTTCAACAACCTGAAAAGCAGGAATAGAGCACTCGAAGCGTCGAAGGCGCCTGTCAACATTGATAGGATCAGGCCTGATCGTTTGGGGAATGTATTTGATAGATGGAAGGATGGGATGAAGACGAATGGCCCGCCCAGTGCTAGGAATAAGTAACCCGGGATGTATCCATCGAATGGAAGCTTGTTGGCTGTCCCAAAAAGTACTGCTCCTATGGTGAGACAGATACTGCCGATGATTCCACTGACTCGTGGTCCATACGTGTCTAGGATTGTGCCTACAGGTAGGGCTGAGACATTGGTTACTACAGCGGCGATAGTAAACATCAAGTTTAGCCTGTTGCGTGTAAGTAAGAGTGATCTTCAACCACGGGGGAAACATACCGAATCTCTTGCCCATAGCATACATCGACATCTTTCTCAAGTTCCGCCTGGGAGCAGAGGTCGCGATATACTTTCTCTCGAATAAGGATGGGCTTGAGAGCTGCAAAGCCGAAAACAACCCCGGCCGCCAGAAAACAGTATACGACTGCCGTGCAAACCTGGGCTTTTATAATGTTAACATGCCACTGTATATGAAAAGAAGTATAATGCGAGTTCGATCAACCTACCAATCCTCCTAGCAGCGCTCACTTCATAAGCACCAGTAGTATCGGCCCAAGGCGGCGTGCGAGCAACGGTCGTCTCTGAATCATGCGCAGTCCGCTCAGCAGATCCCAGTCCCGGCACTGGAGCCGGACCCGCACGTCCTTCGGGGGTAGTCGTCGGAGACAAGCCCAGAAATGAGGGCCCGAAAAACGAGGATCGATCCTCGTGTGGATCCTCTGGGCTTTCATTCCAGCCTGGCCCCGCATACGGGTTGAAATTCAGTCTGCTGTATGTGGAGGGAAATGAAGATGAAATGGATCCCTCGGGCAGATCCTGGTAGGAGTCGGGGTCCGAATCCTCCGATCCAGGGTGGCTGAGGATGGCCGCGGGGTTGCGTTCCCATCCTTCAAGGAAGGAGATGCGATTTAGGGACATTTGGCATTATATTTTGGGATTGACTCAGTTTCACCACAGTAGTGAACGGAAACAGTTGTTTAATTCAAGCTTTTCAGGGGCTACGAGACCAGCAGGGAGCTCCAAAGATAAGAAACCTCGAAGTTGGAATAGCTTGGTTTGGGATATGCATGGATGCCTTGGATTCAAGGCTTGGAGGTATCAGTTTCAGGCACCAATTTCAGGCACCACATGACTCTCCTTCCTCTCTCTTGTCTCTCTTCCTCTCCCCACACAGTTCATTCTCCTGTTCCTGCTCCAATTCAACCGTGGATTGAAACTTCTGGTGCTGATCAAATGATGAATAATGCAAGTGGCTTTTCGCCCCGGAGCATTTGGCCGAAAGAGGCAGCTGGTAACAGAAAGCCCCCCACATATGCAAATCCCATTTGTCTGGTGTTTGGACCGTTTTTAACTTTATAGCATCGGGAGGTGTGGGATCGTCTGTTCGGCGTACAACATATTGAAGTGCCTCTGAGATCGACAGGGTTTCCACGGGTTTGGAATTAAAATCTCATTTTCATCGAAGATCCACCGACAACCAGGATTGATCAAGGCCTGGTACTCCTACCTCACACGGAGATTGCCGGCGCACCTTGTCATGGGATGAGAAGGTCCCTGTGAGTGATCCATGTCGGTCCTCCGTACCATGTGGCTGGACCGTACGGTGCCTGAACCAGGACCGGTGAGGCCAATCGGCAAAGGAGACCCCGAACGACTTCAACACTAACCTCGTTCTTATTTTCGTTTCTAATTTCGTTCCCGTTGCTTGTCGAACGCTTTGTCTTTTTATCTTGAAAGGTTTTAAGTTCTGACCTGACAATCAGCCCCGGATTTATACCGATTTATGTCCGGATACCTTCTGAGGGGGTCTTTCGGAATAGGTTCTCTACATTGCAGACACAATTGACGGCAACGAGGCAAAAGGAAAAGAGGCAAAGAGGATAAAACAGGCCCGGTCAAACTCCTCCGTACCGAGTGCAACTTCCAATGTCTCGGCCAACTATCATGCCGAGAACCCGATTCCGGAACTTCCATGACATGTCACAGGATCTTTTCTTAGGTAAACGATCAGAATCTTTTCGATGAAACTTAGTCTGATATGTGGGGAAGCCAGCCGCCCAACCACGACCAACGCCAGGCTGCCTAGACTCCCGTGGAAATTGGACCTTTTTCAGACCCGTGATGAGCTCGGATATTGAACGTTTCCACATTCGGGATATGGTTTGAGCTAATTTCCAGTACATTTGAAACCCGCTATTCGACATTTCAACCACTGTTAGCTCTAAGCTCTTCGAACTAATCTCCAATTAAAACGTAGCCGCTGGTAAACCCCAAAAATAATACGCAATCCGTTAGTGATCTGCCAAATTTTCGGTCCCCACACCATCTCGCCTGGGTGGGCGTTGGTTAGTCTCCCAATAGACATCATGGTTGAGTTTGATAGTCGGACTGGCCGACTTACCCTATTTACATATCTCACCCTCGGGCCTGGTATTCCAAATATGCTTTCTGGAAGATTTCCTTGTTTGCGATTGTACTTTTTGACTGCGTAATGAGGGGATGGTCAGTTCTTGTGATTCGTTACGCGTACTCGACCTCGACTAACCCGTCGTTTCAGCCTCACATGTCGTCTGCGCCATCTGAAATGTACGTTGCCTACTCCGAATCTCTGCTCTCGGCACTAACAGAATTAGGTGACAAATCCGGTTCGAAATGTCTCCGCTGTCAACGCTCTGGTCGCGAATGTGTGCCGGCCCCCGGCAAATCTGAAGAGATCTCTTTCCGACACGGCCAGAACCCATCCTTGCGAAAGGGGCCTCCAAGATATGGCGAGAGTGATCTTGCTTTCCCGGACGACCAGGTCTGGGTTGAAACGTCCTCCAGCTGTATGTGGAATGTTCTCCGCGTCTGTTTCCTATACTGATTTCTTGTAGTCCACTTCAAGGACGAAACAGATCAGACGGCAGCGGAATACTATGTTGTACCTGTGACAAGGCAGGCGTCGACTTCACGGTCATCGTCTGAAAATTCCACGCCTCCATCGACGATGGATTATTCATTGGCAACTCCAACCCTCGTCCTTCCTGCCTTTGCAGGATCTCAATTGGGCTCTAGATCGAATTCTGGGAATTCGTCACGTGCAACCACCACGCCCACGCCCATTGGCCACCCGAGGCTATCCAATGTCACTGAAGCCTTTCTGTTGCGACATTTTCAAAAGTACCTGGCGCCGTGGGTAAGTTGGTCTGTTATCACATTCGCCGCCTTTCCACTAACAGCCCAGCTCGATGCATTCAATCCCGACCGACACTTCTCAACAGATGTCATCGAGCGCGCGACCCAATCCCCATTACTTCTGTATGCTTGTCTCGCAGTCTCAGCATGTCACCTATCCCGAACAACCAACTCCATCGCCGGCGATGTCGCACACGGATATCATGAGCGCTGTATCTCAATAATGTTGCCGGTCCTCGACAAGCCCGAGTTCGAAATCGGAATCGACATCCTCCTCTCGTCAACCGTCATTCTACGATTTTTCGAATCAATCTCCTGTGCGTGGATCACCAATCTTCAACGCAAAATAATTACCCCCGGCTAACGCACTCAACAGCCCATAGTCCCCCAAACGACCAACAACACCATCTCCTGGCCGGTTCGGTATACATCAGTTCCCACGTGGACTCAGCTATCTCGGGCGGACTGGCATCGGCTTCTTTCTGGGCCTATGTCATTCAAGATATTCAATTCGCGCTCACGTACCAGAAATGCCTCCGCTTAACATTCGCGCCGTTCGATGACCGCCTGCGACGATGGTGGGCCGCCAAACCTGCCCTGAGCGACGGAGACTGGACAAACCGGGCAATCTGGCTATTGGCCGAGACTATCGATTTCTGTTATAATATCTCCGGCCGAAGCCATGACGGTAGACTTGGCAGTGCGGGGGAGGCTGCGCTCAGGCACCGCATTCTTGAGTGGGAGCTTGGTCGACCGGATACGTTTGTGCCGTTGCATATCTCGCCGGCGGATCCTGGGAATGGGAAACCTTTTCCTGTTGCGTGGTATACGAGCCTGTGGCATGGTATGTGATATAAGCCTGCGTTGGGGATGAGGTGCTAATTTGGATCTAGCTACTGCGGTCCAGCACATCTGTCTCACTAAATCGTTGGTGCTCATTCGCGAACTTGAGTTTTATGATCGGAGTATGTTGCATTTAGAGCAGCCTGTCAAGTTAAGGGTTTGTCTTCCCCCCCCCCTGAAACACCTCGATTTTATGCTGACTCCGACAGCATGATCTGGCCGAAACGCTTAATTTTATGTTCGGCATCGCCACATCTGCCGACGACGACCCTTCACTGCGTATCACGGCTTGTCACGCACTTTTTGCCTGTATGTTTTGTTCGCATTCTATGAGGGAGAGTTTACTAATATGCCTACAGGCGGCTCATGGGTGGAAGACCCTGTTGTACAAACTTTGCTGATTGACCTCCTTCGTCGAACTGAAAGGGAAAACGGCTGGCCGTGGGGATATATGCGCAACCAGGTTATGCAAGCGTGGAGGCCGATATAGTTATATACCCAGTTGATTTACATATAATATGATATAGACCAATTAGAATTGTTCTTAGGCGCTGATCGTGCTGTGAGGCTCAGGCAGCTCCACCAATCTGATCATACTACATTTTCATTCTGCGACAGCATAAGAAACAGGACCTATCTCGAATCATCAAGCAAAAGTCATACAAACAACTGGTAAGTAGGAAGGTCAAATAACCGCTGATCTCCCCATTTTCACTATTCAAAAGCTGGATGGAGTTGAAGATATATTCACAGTGCATTTCTATTTATATGATCCTACACTCGACCACGGATATTCTGATACAGCCAGTCTCTCCACTCCTGGTCATTCAAGATTGATCTTACACGGGCCCCAAGCCACTCAGTATTCCCCCAAAATCCCCACGAAGCCTGGAATCTACACCAATCAACCAAAGCTGTCTCCCAGTGCCGTTTGAACGCTTCCCATTCGTATAGCTCTGACTCCTCCGATTCCTCATCTTGGAGGAGACTCATACGATATCGCTCTAGCAGTGCCCTTTCGGCATCGCACATTGACAGCTGTGCGGGCAAACTCCCATTTCCATCAACTAGCATATGCAGCGGAACCGAGCAGGTAAACAATTTGGCAAGGTCACAGACTCCCAAACCGAGCCCGACATACTGGAAGTCAAAGAAGGCCACCTTGTCTCCATTAGTAGTCGTGAAAAGATTTTCCGACTTGACATCGCCATGAATATAAGACTCAATTGCCCTCCCGCAGGGCGTTAGGAACAATGCAACCATCTCCGCCACGGATAGTGAGCACCCTTCCGATACCCTGCACAGCGCATCTGACCACTCCGAGTCCGTGTCCTGTGCAAGAGATGCGTATTCTTTACGTCGCGTTGCGAGGTACGTATACCCCCCATTCAGCCACAGCCCGCTACCAACATCCTTGTCTGGGCTCTGTCTCTGTCTTCTATTGCGTTCTTCAAGCGGCGGCAGAATATATCCGTCAAGACTAGATGGCAGTAGTTTCCTTGAGCAGCTGTGGAATCCAGCTAGCCAGTCTAGCGCTGCGCGAACCTGTGCGCGGTTCAGCGCACCTCTCTTCTCACCCGCGATGGGGAACTCAGGACGCAGATCAACCATGATCGTAGCCATAAGACCGCTGAGTTCCGACGAGTCTGCCGAGTAGTCCATGTCGCGCGTCGAGGCAACGCATTTGGCTATGGCTGTGTTGCAGCTCAGCTGAGGGACTACTTCGCTATAGAAGTACTGTTCCACCTCGTAGCTCAGCATTTTCCGTAGATGGCCCTCGTCTGCAGTGCTGGCGCTTTTTCGGGGCGGTGAGATGAGTTTCAGGATAAGGGGATACGTCGTCCCCACAACACCAGGCTCTACCCCGCACAGCTTGCTGAGATGTTCGGCTGCTTGGGAGGTGGTGGCTCGCGCTGTGATAGCGCATATTTGTCCATACCCGGCCCATAGGGTTTGAAGGTTGGTGCACGAGATGAGCTCGAGCGAGTGCCATGAGAGCATGATGCTAGCGACACGGTTGGGGTCATGAGGGGCCATTTTGACTGGAGGCAGGTCAAATTGACTGCAGGCCACGAATAGGATATGCTCTTCTCGGATATTATTGCTCTGGTTTGGAATGTGGGATGTATAGTAGATCTTGATTGCGAAGCTGTGCTGAAAGTGTACGGAGCCGCGGAGAATGCAATTCTCCGAGACGTACGAATTTCAATGGATGTTGATGTCGATATAACCTGGGATGTTTATATCGGATCATCCACATGGGTGACATGTGACATTGACATTGCCAGGGAAGGTGCGAGGGACCTGTCGCACTTTAGGAAGGCACATGGGCTTGAGGTATAAAATGACCCCTCCCCCCATTTCTCCTCTTCTCTTCTTCTTCTTCTCCTCTCCCCATCCCTCTGACCACCATCCCTCCGTAGCCCCCATGAGACAGCGCAGGCAAAGGGTACTGTAGCAGATGGTGCTTCACCTACCACAGGGACCATGACATTACCATATGTATGAGGTCCATGTAGGTCTGCGTCAAACATCAAACCGGGCTTTCTCGTGGACGTTCCTGAAGTCGTGGCTCTCATTGCCATTTGACGAGTCCCACGGAATACATGAGGGGTGTAAATCTCCGTAGCCGAGAACGCGTAGGTTTCTCGTTCTCAATACATCAGAGGAAATCATTGCTTGCCGTTATACTGTTCACTAGACTATTCCTAAGGAATAAGCCTTACTCTTACTGCCTAGATGAAGTGTTCCTCGTAATTCACTAATCCTAGTTAGATTTGGTGTTCCCCTTACGAGAGTGACTGAATGCGAAAAGGCATGGCTTCCCTCCGAGCCTATCCCTCGAAGATGATGCATCTTGCGATGAGTGAAATTGATATACATTCGAAACAACAACGGGTATAATGAGCAAAGGAGACAGGACACCACAATAAGCCGACTAAAACAATCCGAAATTCCCGTCAAAAGAAAGAGGGAATGTAAACAGTCCCTCGTCCATCATATTCCCTAACGTAAACCAAGGATCACCGAAATTCGGGTCCATGCCTACCTCGGGTGCCATTCCCATCGGAGGAGCAAGCTGCACTCCAGCCACGGTGGACATGTCAGGGTATCCCTGAGTCTGGGTACTCGATGGTAAATCTGGATAATTCTGTGTGATTTCGGTGGATGGATAGGGTTGGTAGTAACCCCTCGTCTCGATATGGTTCGAGTCTGAGCTCGGGAGAGTGGTTGGGTATGATGAGCTAGATGACCAGCTGGTTTGGGGTGGATCTGGCACGAAATTGGATGAGCTTGGCGTTGGCATTGGGTTGACTGTTGAGCTTGGACTGTGGTTTGAGGAATAAGATTGTCCGGCTATCGAGCGTTGGGAGTTGGAATTGTTCGCTCGGTGCGCTGGGTCGCCCATGGCTACTTCGCTGAGGAAATGGAGGGGTGTCATGCCCGGTGCTATCCGCGCTCTTGGATTGGTAGATACCGCGTTCGGGGTATCAGGGTTATGACGTGCCTGCCGGTGATCGGAGGATTTCTGATCATTCGAAAAGACCTCCTTCAATTCCCGGCCATGATCTCCCTGGTCGCGCTTCTTGATAAACCAATTGCGCAACAGAACCATTATGTTTCCAAATCTCGCTGCTGCACGGCCACCATCGCGCGCAGCGGCGGCACGGTAATGCGCGATGACTTTGTCCAAATAATAATCGAGTTTGAGACTCTGCACGTCGAGAATCTGACCAATTCGACTGTCCGGCGACATGAACAGTGAGTATATTTTTATCAAACTAACCACGGGATACGATGTCCGCGCTAAGGATGTCGTAGGCAAGGATATAAGTCGGTCAATATTGATGGTGCAAATGACATCTAGACTCTCGTGAATGCAGCGGATGGCCGTGCTCAACGCATCAATCGCAATCGATGAGTTATGCAAATCATCCTGAGATGGAGAGTTGTTGACCGTGTTATAGTCCACACACATTGCAGATCCATGGACGAAGAGATTCAGGACATGTTCTGCGTGAACCATTGGCTCTAGAAGGATGTCAGCAGAATATTAAAGAATATTCTCAAGATCAGCGCTTACCAGTGTAAACGTCCCGTGGGACCTCCTCTCTCCATTGTGCCAATCTATCCTCAAACATTTTAATATTATACCAAACCTTGCTGTCCGCGAAGGTGGTAATGCACCCAGGATCCTCCTCCGAGAAGAGATTTCCAGCATCCTCCATGATCGATCCCAGCTTTATCCACCATTTCAAGTTTCGATCGGAGGGTAGGGCATCCGGGTGGGTTTCTAAAATCTGAAGGCACTCGTCCATATACGGCTGCCAGGTGACCAAGTGTACTCTTCTCAGAGCCGCCGACATCCTGCCAAAGTTAGCTTGCGATCTCCATACCATAACAACCCGGATTGAAACACACTGGACAGATAAGAAATAACAGCCAACCCAAGTTCGCCTTGCTTCCGGTCCCTTTGGATCAAATGCCGGACCCGTCGGCTTTTTAATGATCAGTTCGCGGATCACGCTGAAGCTGCGTCTATTATCGGAAATGCGACGGTTTAATCCAAGTTCCATTGCCATGACCACCGCCATATGGATCAAAGAATAGAACTTGATCTCGTCGAAGTTATCGGGTGGGAGATACCAGATAGAACAGACCATTATAGTCTGAACCAGCTCAAGCGACTTTTGGCCTTTGACAACAACCTGCTCGGCGATCAGACGATATGTCTCATTCACGAGGATCGGCTGTGCGTCGGAATTGAAGACGGCAACCGCAGCCGCGATGATCGCAAGGAACAAATAAGGCTTATTGCGGCGAACCTCGCCCATTGTAGTCCCCGGCGGAAAAACAACAAAAGGCAACTCTGGCGCCATCTGGTGGATATACCTATCAAACGCTGCGCTTGCAGTCTTGTAATCTATAATCCCGCGATCGATCATATCAGCAAACTCATTCCCGGCCTCATGTTTTGGCGGCGGCGGCGCAGAATCAACACCAACAGGTCTGCGCCAATGCTTCGATGCATGGCTAGGAATCTGCTCTGCAGATGGACTACCCGGCCGCGAATACCGCGGCGCTAACAGCCCACCAGAGGGATCCTTGAGTTCGCCGGTATGCTGTCGCTTGCTCCCAGCAATCCATCTTCGACCAGCAAGCTGCTCATCCCGTTGCCCCGCTCCACCAGAGAACAGCGCACTGGTGGAATTTGATGCCTGCAGCGTCGCCGTCAGAGCATCGATCTTCCGCTCTAACTCCGCCACCCGACTGTCGGTCTTTTTCTGCCGCTTGCGCGTAGGCGCAGTTACAACACACGTCCGCCGCGCTTTCGCGCACCGCTTGCATGACCCTTCCGGGTGCGCCGGGTCTGGGTCGCAGCGCACTTTCAGCTGTCGGCATGGCTCGCATGCACGCGACCGTTTGGCGTCGCCTGGTGGGTCATGCGGATCTGGGGATTGGTTGCTGTCTAGGCCCATCCCGAATGATGGGTGCGTGTCCCTAGGCCCATGTTCGTGTCCGCGTCCATCACCATGTGTATCCCGGCTTGGGTAAGGGTTGAGGGGTGCGTGTGATGGGGGCTCCGGGTATTCCGGGCCTGTGCTCATTGTCGGTCGGATCGGTGTATAAAAAGACCGCTGAGGGTCCGCGTGTTGCAGCTGCGGATCGATTTCCATGCAGTGCGGGATTACAATACCGGCTCGGGGACCTATCACTGTTACAAATTCGCGTTAATTCCAATTCTTCATCAGTAGACGTGATTGCTCGGTATCCCATTTTCAGTGTGGTTATTGCTGACACCTCGGCTGTGCGACAAGAGAAAACGGAGGACGGTGATCACAAACACCGACCACCGATGTGGAGGATCAACATACCTCATCGGAATAATGTCAAGTAAGGGGAATGCATAACACCAGGCTTACCTCTCACTTATAATACCACTGGGTCCTGTTTGACTTGCTCTTCACTTTGGGGCCAAAAGTGAAGTGAAGTGCTTTTGATTTTTGAGTTTCAACTAACATCAGGGGCCACGTGACTGATGATCCTACATACCCTCGGCATCTGCATCAGCATCTGATAGGTTTCGAGATAAAATAGATTAGATTCATTGATACGCTAAGCGGGATATAAGAAACAAAATACCAGACGCCGTGAGCCAAAAGTAGTAAAAAGCAAAAAGCTAAGCTAGCAAAAATATTTCTTGAAATTCATATTAGATGGATGTGCACCCTATTAGGAAAACTTGTGGACAGGGCACTCCATCTTCCTCTCAAACCAGTCAACAATGCAGTGCTTGTGGAACTTGCACAGGCACTCAAGGCGGGCCAGGGTCTGTCCAACCTCGTAGTCCTCCATACAGATCGTGCACTCTGCCGCCTGGCCATCCTCACCGAGGCAGTCTTTCTCCGTGGCCACAAAGGGAAGCATACGGGCTACCGGTGGAGGATGGGGCAGTGGATGATCATGTTGCAAGGATGATGTCCGGGGCGGGGCAGTTGGTCTCAAATAACCCTCGATGCACGCTCGGGTATGAGCTTGGCGCGCCTCGAGAGGCTGTTCAGGACTCAGTGGAAGATATTGACGTCTGCATACGGGGCAGAAATCATCTTCGTTCAACGCAGGTCCGCGGGTTGGGTTACCGTCGCGGTTGGAAAATGAACGATGTGGTCGGGATATGCCAGCGGTGGGCGAGGGAACTTGGCGAGTTTGCGAGTTCAACTCATTTAAGAACTGCGGTCGATCATTTACACCCACAGTTCGTCGTTCCTGACGAGCTTCGGGATTGCTTGGACCCTGCGTGTTTTCTTGTCAGCTTGGTTTTATTAAGTAAAGTGGCGAGAACTTACCGATGAGGCATGGTATGTGTTGGCCATAGTGGATGAAAGAGAATGGGTGGGTCGGTGGCCGTGTGCCCGCACGGTACTGTAGCTAATGGGATTCGGGTTTGGGTCTGGCACACATGGATTGCAAAGTCGTACTTCTTCGCCTCCGCCAAGAGCAGGGTTGAGTGTGGCTGCTGTTGCTGCTACTGATGCTGATGGTGATGATAATGGTGATGATGATATAACAGGGTCATCGCCTGTGAGATCGACGACTGATGGAGAGTTGGAAGGAATTGGCGGGGAATCAGGAAGGAAGTCAACGAACTCAGGAGGGCGGACAATATATTGCCTAGGAATTGTGATCCGATGTGGGGAGCATGATGCACACACGACTCTTCCACACTTTCGGCAGTGGTGCTTTCTGTGCCAGAAGCTGAATACTACCCCACAGATCGGACATTCTGACACGTCCGAATCTGCCTGCCATTTGGGGAGAGCCATATCCATAAATGGTGGGTGTAGATCATTGTGAACAGATGCAACGGAGCGAGATTGATTAATCCAGGGTGTTGGATGCTCCCGTCGAGAGAAACCCGGTAGTTGTTCGCCATAATTAGAGGAACGAGGCGTCCCTGGGGGAGAGGAAGAGATATCAATTGCTGTTGCAAATGACGAGCCAGGTGCTGTGGATATAGAAGTTCTAGTACGAGACGAAGGCAATACCATCGAGACAGATCTATGCGGCAAGATACTTCTGGAGGGTCCCCCATTGTCTCGGGCCGGTCCAGCCGTGCCTCCAGATTGTCCCCATTGCGACCTCGCATCCTCGCCGGTACTGGTCAATCGTCTTTTACGTTCTGACCTGGGGCGAATGGGAAAGACTCTCGTCCTGGAGCTGCCTTCTTCATAGCCGCTGTAGCTTCTAGGTTGTGTTGTGCCGTGCCCCTCTGGTCTTTCGACCGGCCTCGTGCCTGCCTGCATCCTCGGCGGGGAGCTGGACTGAACCGAGCTAGATGCCGTGCTTGACCCAGGCATGATTGCTAAGTTCAACGGTATAGATCCTCTGTGATATTCTGTCCGACAGAGGCAACGAGATCGATCTCGGCCGTTGGAATGACAGTCTTCATGAACTAGGTGGCGAGTGGCGATGACGAGGGGAATATATGGCGGGGATGTCGAGAATATAGGTGTAGGAGATGAGGTCCTTTTATGCAATCCTGGGCTCAGCTTCAATGACGTTGACGCTTTTTGCCGAAGATCACATTAAGGAGTGTGAGGATGATGCTTATCATGGAGCCAAGGCTGATTGGGTCGTATTTAGGAGATGATGAGGCTGAGAGTCTTGTGACTATGCTCTCAGATGCCAGCAACACAGTAGCGATGCCAGCAGCAGATGGCAACAGCAGATGGCAACAGCAAAGAAGAAAACAAGGATATTGACACTTGACTCACAGAGACAAGAGAGGAAATGGTGCAAGCGTTATGTTTGGGCCCAGATACAGGCTGTTATCGTGGGGCGGGCGGTGAGGGAGGTGGCGATTGACGGTATCGGCCCGGTCTGCCCGCGTGCTATCGGGTTCGGTTGTTTCTTTCCGCTCTGCTCGAAGCCTCCCATAGTTCAATTGATAATTGCAACAGAAGATATACGTTGCTTATATAGTTGAGAACTATTACTAGTTCTAAGACATATCAAGACCTTATTATTACCACTAAGAGAGTGCGCTAATGAAAAGTCCTCATTAATTATGATCCCGGCATTAGTGTGTCCTAAGATTGATACAAGAAGAGCGAAAAGAGACAGATACAGAAAGAAGCAAAGCCTCCAAAAGAAAACAGCATGTCGTCTGGATTCAGCGACAGCCAGGAAGATAGCAAGAAGCCAATGAGTTCACTCCCCATTAGGTGTACCTCGGGATCAGAGATAAAACGCCGTTGCAGCAATTTTAGGTTGACAAACAAAGCAAGAGATAGACGCACAGGAAGCAAGGAGATTCGTGATGGTGGCATCAATTCGCCGGTATTTCGGGCAGGAGATGGTGGTGACGATATCCATAGATGAGGAATAAGTGGCGGGAGATCCATGAGACAGAGATAGAGAGAGGTAGATATCGAAGAAGACGAATATAGTGGTTCAAAATACATATGTGACTGCCTTTTTCATACTTTTAACGCTCGTGCCCGCCCAGCGAAGCTTCATCGACAAGTTCTGCTGCGCTCCCCTTAAAGGATGGCTCGTCGGGGCTCCCCTCGTGGATGTGGTCGTGCGCGCGATGTTGAGGTACATAGCCCAGACTCGAGGGTCGAGCACCCGTCTGCTGGCTCGAGGCGTTTGATCTTGACCTTGAAGTAGAGGTCATAGACAGACCTCGTTCACGAGATGGCGAGCTACTTCCGCTGAAAGGCAGGCGCGCGGTGGTGGAGCCTTCTGGCTGGAGATGGTGCTCGGAGTGCTCGTAGTGCTGGCTTATATCAGAGTTGTGAGACAGGGTCTCGGTCACAACTGGAAGGCCAGCCGCAGTTCCTGCGTCTTGGTCACCAGGCGCCTGTGTGTGGCAAGAGGCCGTCCGACTGGGCAATTCGATACCACCGCCACCTGAGGTATTAATTTGTGGCAGTACTGGCGGGCATGACGGTTCGGGGTCGTGGTCATTGTCCGAATCCTGATAGGGAACATTGCCGGTAGACACTTCCCGAGAATGACTGGCTGATGGCATGCCTATATCATCCTGATAAGGATCATTAAAGTCGTCTCTTCTCGGGAATAGACCTGGAGGAGGCGCACGAGCACTTCGGACCACCTCAAATCCTTTGGCGTTGTCCTTCGTCTTCCCTTGGAGCAAGCTTCGGAACCAGCCCGTCGCAGACGAGACTGGACCTGTGGGGTCGGCTGGGCCAGTTTTCAACTTTCGCGTACCGCTGTGGGAGAGCGGTGGGCCTCGGACACCATAGTAGAAATCAACCTCGCGAACAGCATAATCCTTCGGCTTGCGAGGGGTATCGAGCTCCATATCATCCTTCGGCGTTGCTAGATATGCTGGAACTGGTGTAGCACGGCCAGACATGCCATCTCCCAGGTCGTCATCGATGCTGACTGCTCGGCGGCTTGATTTTGATTTCAAGAAGCCTCTTGACGGGCTCTTCCCCTTCGCGAGAGCACCACTTGCTGGGGGCGTTCTTCGCCCGGGGCGAGGTGGCCGGTAATAGGGATCACGAGGGTTTGTTCCCATCATCTTACCACTACTGGGCGAGCTAGGGAAGCCAGCTCCTTGATAGGTGGTTGAGGTAGGTGTGGGGAATCCCCCGCTAGCAGCACGGCTGTGTGTGCCTCCTTGCGAACTGGGATAATCATAGATGGTGCTGACTCTGCCATCACTAGCACGGTTCAAAAGCAGACCAGAGCTCCCAGAGAGACTGCGAGGACGCGATCCATCAAACTGAGATGACATACGATCGTCACCGTGACCAAGCATAGCAGCCTCCGAACCCATACTCTGGCGAGTAAGATCACGTCGCGGAGTGCGCCTCGAGAGCTGGCGCATGCCAAGCACCTTCGTCAAGCCACCACGAGTGGCACCGCCCGCACCAGCCAGTCTTGCCAGTACTTCGATCAAGGTTTGCATTGCGTTGAGGAAGAACCCGAAAATGAGAACCACGGCGTGCAGCACAAGGATCAGATATCCGATCCAGCCTCTGGCCGCATCCGAAAGTGTCAATGACGGCACAAAGACAACGCTCAAAATAACTGTCAAGAAACGCACAATAGAGAAGAGGCAGTGATACAGGTTCATGTGGGTTGGTCTTGAGAAAGGTCGGAAGGCCAGCAGGGTTAGTACAGACACAACTTCGCAAATGGCCAGCATTACCACTTGGGCGATACCAGACGGCTGCAAAGCACCAATGGCTATTCCGCGAGCGATGTTCAATACAATTGGGACGATACCAAAGGCTGCTGCATCGTCACAGTATGTATTATAGAGCGGCCCATACAATAGCACTGTAGGAAGATCATCGAAAAGGTGAGCTTTGGGTCGAGTGTTAAGGACCACACGGATAGCCCAAATCGCGAAGCAAGCAATAATAACGATCACCACGGCCGCCAAAGCAACACAGTAAGCGGTTGATTGACGAGCAATAACCAATTGGAAGAAGGAAAGGGAAACGATTGGCAAGAGAAGAAAATTGAAGACAATGCGAATGAGATTCCCCATGGTGAACGGCATGTTTCTGGCACGCAGATCCTGATCGGTGTTGTTTGCCAACTCACGATACAGCCATCGGAGCGCGAATGCGATCTGGAAGACCACCGTCACACAAGCCATGATTACCAGCACCCATATGATCATACCAGGCCAGATATCCTGAGATGAGGCCATGCCAACCAGGTGGTTCATTCGGTCGAGGCCATACGTTCCATTGATGGCATATAGACCATCCACAACGGGATCGCGGCCGATTTCAGTGCTGACGAAACTCTGGTTGAACATGAGAGTCGACCATGCTCCCTGACTCACTATAGGCTGGAAGAAACCTGGGTAATTCAAAGAAAGCGAGCCCGTTAATACTATGAATTGAAGGTATTGCAGGCAATCTGCAAATCCAGGAGTGACAAGTCGGAGAACATCTTCATCGCGGCCGTAGTTGCTTGTCCACCGAAATAGATCGGTTGTGCCCCAAGGGCTAAACATGGCGGCCGTGATGGTCGCAATTCCCACCAGTATCAAAATGATGAGAGGCACATAGGCAATGGCACTTTTGAGAGATGTTCCCAAGTCCGGCGTCGCGTTCACCAAAACGCAGGCGAGCTGAACGGCGGATGCATCTCCAGAGCGAACTATCAATAAGGGTGTGATAGTTCCGAAACGGTAAGTTGAAAGCATATCATGTTGAACCGAGAACGCTCGTAATGTGGTCAAATCACTCCTGCATAAGAGAAAGGGATTAGTTAAAAATCGCAGAGCTTTCTCTTCCTGCAATAGCTTACATATTGTAATTAAAGACCGGACCCAGCGGGAGGGTGCCCTGAGTGACCGCGTCACGGAAACGAGAGGCATTGCTAAAGGGCGTGAAGCTAAGCACATTGAGATCCGTCATCAGCGTGCTGTACTTGTTGTTGGTAGTGCTCACATCCTCAATCTTCCCATCGGTCCAATTGGGATTTGTCCATACAGAGGAATCGGGTGCGGGATAGTCTGCGGTTTGAGACGTGGTTCCCGACACATTGCCATAGACCGTGATGGCGAGCGGGTGTAGAGGGTTGGTAAGGTTGAATTTGACGGACACGTTGGTAGGAACGAATTGAAGTTGTAGAGGGTCGGACTCGAGGATGGATTTTGATAGACAATTTTCAAAGTCCAAAAGAACAGCAGCCCCTGGCGATGCAAAGCTCACTAAGTACAGCAGTGCAATCCACCACACCGAACTCCATGGTTGTGCTCGGCGTTTCGAAGTGTCGGGCCACGGCCGACCTTGCAAAATGTGTAATCCACTGCGTCGCGGCCGCCTGCTTGCTTTCCGTCGAGAGGATGATGAATGTCCGTCCAGCTCGATCTCCGTCGAGTCGTGCATGTCCACTTCGGGCATCCGGGATGACCTCCTCGGGGAGGTCAACCCCCGGCGTAGATGATCGAATCCACGTTGTGTTGACAATGGATCGGTGTCGGGGTCTCGTCCACCGCGCGCACCCCTTCCCAGGGTCAATAGGGCACTGTGATTGACAAAAAAATATCACTGCAGGGAATAGACCAAGGATCCTGGAGTCTCGCCTGATAGAGTTTGGGGGGGTTCGAAGTTAGGCCGGTGCCTGGAGGTACGTAAATCTGCGTGCGTCGTAAGTCGGCCGCTAAGTCGTCCAATGCGGCATATCCCGGGGGCAGGATCGGAAGTCGAAGTCAGAGCAAAACACAAGGAAAGTGGAAAAAAAGTGGCTTAGTTTTCGCAGTGGGTTTGGCCTGTTGTTGCTGCGCCTTGTTTGGTCTGGCCTTGGTGGAGTTTAACGGCTGACTACTCGATTGTGCTAATAATAGGCTGCTATACTATTTTCTTCTACTCCGTACGGATAAACAGAGTAGGATCATGAACGAAATACAATTCTCAAAATAGAAAATTATGGGAGATATGCGCAATCCTCCTATTTTAGGACTATTTCCAACTATTTCCAATCTATCTTCCATCCACTGTGTCGGCTGGAGCCGAACCCCCGGAGATAAATAACCGACTGAGATCCTGAGTTTCTGCATGAATTCACTCCTGCTGTGAGGATATTGTCTTCAATTACGAGGAAGACTGTCTTTATGTCTTTGTCTTAGAATCATGGGTTCTCGAACTATTCCCCCTCATATGTTTCGGCCGACTCGAAATAGTCGCTGAAGGTGGATTATTGATTGTCTCACTACATAACAACTGATCAGTGGCCCCATCATGCCTGAAGTTCAATGATTTATTCATGCTGATCAGTCTCCAGCAAGGCTTGGCGTCGGCTATACTATTGAGTTATGATGTTGAAGGGCTACTCTCTGGTGATATCTTCTCCAGTGGTGGTTGGATGTGGCACATTGCCCTAAACGGGGTGAGGCTGGTGAATTCATCTGACCACTCGGACGGAATTGGTTGAGCGACAACGAAGGTACAGATAATGGCGTACCTTTCAGGGTCTAGTGTCCTGCGTTAGCTATCTAACTCCACTGTGGGTTTTAACCGATGGAGGTTTGTGGTGAGACAATCACGGTGGCGTCAGGCCCTGCTCGTATATAGCTCCCGGTACAGAAGTTGTTTGAATCCCTGAATCCCGGTTGTGTACAATGTTGTAGTCGTCTATATTCATCTCGAAATGGTCAGACATACATAAGGTTCTAGAAACTTGGAAGTATACTGAATGGTGAATATCCGATGTGTATTCCGTAGGGCTATACAATGTTTCACCCCTAAGCGAATATCGACAAAAAGATTAACGCCACATCGACTTCCTCATTTCACTTTCATTCTCACCCACAAGTCTAAGCCTGAACGAACCTAGCTCCGTCAGCTCCATCAGCCGAAAGCCGTAAACTCTCGCCTAATCTAGTAGTACTCCGCACATTCGCTATCTTTCTATCCTTCCTCGACGAACTGTGTTGTGTTAGTATAAACAAGGTGACAGCGAACGGTTTACAACTGCCCTTCCTGGCGTTTCAATATCTCACAATGTCACATACCGTATCTGGATACCTCCAGTCTTCCTTCCCTCTCCCTTTCCATAGTTCCGACTAGTTCTACAATGCTGTCATATTGTCTCATACCTCATGTCTTATATATCGCAAATAGTACCTTTGGAGTTGAAAGTTTCAGATGAAAAAAAAAAGGGTTTTCTCGGCAGTGTTATCGTGATAATAGGTATATCGCTAACTAGCTTGTCAAGTGGGGATGTTTATTATTGGCCTGAAACAAACAGAGATTATGTACACAAGGTTTGCGTAGAAGTGACCTATTTAGTATGTTCATGCGCCGAAAATTGTAAGAATACAAGAAGTACTCCGTATGGTGTGAGACATTTAGGGCTTTCTACTCCGTACCTCCCCCACGCCTTTGAGAGCTCAGGATAATAGACCCCGGATTTTCCAAGGTCAAAGCCACCATCTTTCATTAAATTGTAATACGTTTGTACGACGCATATTGTATTCAAGCTCAGAGGCTCCACTAACTAGTTAACCTTCAATGTTAGGTTGTTAGGTAAGATTGCGTTGTGTGTAAGCGTAAGCAGTTCTACGGCCTCCCGAGGGCCCGAAACCGGGACGATCTACTTCAGGGTGTATATGCAGGTATGAACGCTGGGTCTTACAAGCGGATATTGATTGTCTACATGTGGGGTGGTCCGAGTCACGGTTGATCTTGAATTTCCTTGTTTCATGGGCTTCCAATCCATCGGGTCAAGTCAAGGTGGTCAATGAACCGTATAGAACCTAGCTACTAAGAGCAAGACATAGCGGTGACAAGCAAAGGGCGATATACTCGCTGGTTGCAGACATTTATAGCCATTGGGGTCATATCTATGAATATATGAGTGTAGCAAATTAGAGACTTGAGCAAAGTACTCTATTGGAAACGGGAGGACCGAACGGGGAAGCCGGCAAACGGGCATCTGATCAAATGCCAGATTGAGGAAGATACATTACAGCCAAGCCTCCAATTTGGAAAGAAGCTACCGTTATACGAGGGTTAGGGGCATATTAACAAATGAACCAATTAATCCAAGGTTTCATTAATTAGATTAGTCTCGAAATTCGGGCGCTAAGAAGCCCCTAGATATGATGAGGATGGGTTAGTTAGGAATGCGCGGTTTCTTGATCATATTATTAACTATGGAGTAGGAAGTGTACCAAGGCAGTAGATCGTAGGCAGGGATGCCCAATATCAAATCATTTAACAACATGACAATGTCACTGAATATCTTTGATCTTCAAAGCTCTCAAAACTCGTCAGCAGCGGGTCCCTCAATCCGATTGGGTCTAGTGGAGTTTCAGGATGAGACGAGCAAATTGTCTATGCTGATTGGATATATAGCGCCCTTGGTGGCTTGAAAGGCGTTGGGTGCTTGAGGTATGTGGAAGTGTATAGACCGAAAGATAGGGAATTGCACCATGTCTGTACAGCAGTGTGAAATGTCTACGAACATCGCTATGAACATGCCTATGAACATCCCTATGCACATCCCTATTAATCGTTTCGTATACTAAATCGGATCCACAAAAAGCCCCGACTCCACTGCGGCAATTGGTACCTGCGGAGTATCTCCAGGGCTTCTTCTTCCAAGGTTTGCCCCCTGATGTACCTTCTTTCACTTCTTACCCATCGCATGTCTCACGCTGCTGGTCCAGCTACCTTGACAATCTAATCTCTATACGGAGTAAGTGTTTGCTTTTTATCGTTGGACTTTGGAATTCGGGGCTAATCGTGTTTCTGATAGTCTTTCATTGGAGCACGGGCGCTTAGATTAGCCTCCCCTCCTTCCTCTTGACGACACTTTGACACTTTTGACACTTGACACTTGACACTTGACACCTTTGGACCATTTTGAGACAAAACACTCGACACTGCACTTAGCCCTTTATACTACACACCTTCATCTCTTCCTCTTATCCCCTCTCTGGCTCTCCCATCTCCCCTTCCCCGCTATTCGATCCCAATTCTTATCAGGCCTAAAGCCCCTGTCGATCCTTCAACACACAGGGGGAGGGGATATTTCACAACGGGTATCCTTGGTGTGTGTGTCTGTGTGTTATTGAGTGCGATGTGGACTGTGTCTACTCGCTATCTTTCCTGTCATGTCTGCCGATGACCCGTTCTCCTTTCTGCCCGCGGAGCAGGCCAAACCCGCGAAAAAGCCCCATTGGAAAAGTAAACTGTTCTCCAAGGATAAGCATAAGGCTGCGTTGCAACAGCATCAAGAAATCGCAGACTTTTTGAGCTCTCGTGCCCCAGAATCAGCCGCAGCCCCCCCGCCTATCGATCCAACTCCGCAAACCGTCGCTGCCCACCGCTTTCCTTCCTCACAAGACATCTCCAAACACCCTCCCGCCAAGCCAGTGCCTGCGCCGGCGTCGGCGTCGGCGTCAGCGCCAGTCTTGCCTTTTGATAATTATGCCTCTTTCAATTTCTCAGACCAATTTCAGACTGTCCCCAACCCCTCTCCAGCCTCTGCCAAGCATGGTGGGCGCAAGGGCAAAGGGCTGCGGGTGGGTTTCAGCCGTCAAAACCCAGAAGTGATTGGGGAAGGAGGCGATGAGACGGAATCGCCAACAATCGAGATTTCGCGGGCCCGTGAGAGGTCGGACAGCAGGGGAACCCCGGGGTCGGACCTTTCGCGTCCGCAACTGCCAAATCTCCGACTTGACACATCGCTGGGAGATAGTGATGCGCGATCCCGAAAAGAGGTTTGTTCGCCTCAGCGTGATAGATTGGACTGGAAACCTCTGCTAATGCAAAATCCACAGGATGCTGACTTCCTGAGCACGTTGTCTGCGGGCGACGGCGGCGCTCGATTGAAACTCCACGGCGATACCGAGTTCGCACAACGCGTCCGCGATAAGATGCAAGCGGAAGAAGGTCGCGCACTGCATCATCGCTATGAGGAAGATGCATTGTCTCCTGGAGTTGAAGACGATGATATCTCAACTCCCCCTAGTCCCCCCAGTCCTCCTAGCCCGGAACCTCTCATAAAAGGTTACAATTCTGGATCGCCCCACGAAGCAGCCCCAACGGCGGGACTTCCGCATGCGCCATCAATTTCTCTGTCGATGAGATCTATTGTCGATTCGATCCGAAGCCCCCCAAGCCCCTCAGCAGAACGCGCACCAGCGAGTCTCAGCCCCATTGACCCACGAATGCCTACGAATCTCATCCCAGGTAGCCCCGGCAAGCTTTCACCAATACAGGCCAAAGCGCCACCCCAAGACCTATCTGCATCAAACCGGGCGTCACCCCCCAGTCGCGAGGGCCAAGAGCCACCACCACATAGCGTCCAACCCCCCAAGTTTTCTCTTCGCAATATTGCGAACCAAGTTGGCAATACCGCGTTTTCTGAATTCAAAGAGTACAATACACAATAC